TGGCATGAGGGCTCAATAGTCTAATCTTCCACCCACTGGGATCCCACGTGGGCACCAGTTTGCGCTTCACCTGCCACACAGCTCCCTGCTTATGGACTGGCTGTAGTCGATGGCCCATGTGTTTGGGCCCCTGCAACTACGTGGGAGACCCTGATGAAGTTCCTGGCTTCTGGATTGAGGTCCGCTCAGCTCCAGCTGCTGCAGCCATTTGAGAAGTAAACCAGCAGATGGAAGATTTCTGCCTTTCCTCCTTATAAATCTGCCTTTCAAATAAAAATAAATAAGTCTTTCCAAAAAAGAATCAACAGACCTGAGGCTGAGCTGTAGCCCTGAAAGGTTAAGATGCTATATGTACTGCCAGCATCCCATGTGGGCACCAGTTTGTGGAGCTCTTCTACTCCAGCTCCCTGCAAATGCCCCTGGGAAAGCAGACAGTCCCAGTGCTTGGGACTCCGTGCCCACGTAGGAGACCCAGATGAAGCTCCTGGCTTTGGTCAGACCCAGCTCTGCCTCACAGCCACTTGTGGGAAGTCAACTGGCAGAAGTTCTCAGCAACTCTGCCTTTTGAATACTTTTTTTAAAGAGCCCTAGAAAACTAAAAACACAGATGTCAGTCAAGACTACTGAGGGACCCTCTTGGCTTCCTGAGGACCAGGAGCCTCAAGCACCATTGGCTGACTTGTACAAGGCTGGCGGGGACAAAACTGGAGCGATTTATGAGCCCCAAACCTCGTAGCAGCTTGGCTGGTCTCCAGTGAGCAACTGCCTTGTGTCACACAAGCAAGATGCTGCGAAAAGTCCTAGCTCGGCCCTGCCACTAACATCATGCAGGAGGGCGAGCTTGGGGAGGGTTCGGGCCGTGGGGCTGGGGCAAAAGCAGCTCCCTGCAGCGTGGTGGCTGTGGGGGGGTGCCCCTGCCAGGCCGGGCCCAATGCTGGGGACGCAGGCCAAAGTCACTGCCAAAAGGCGGTGACAGTCCTAGGCTTTCAGTGGCCAGTGCACCAAATGGTGCCAGGCTCTGCCTGCTGGCCGCCCATTGGCGAACTCTGGGGTTTTTAGGATATGTAATTGCTGCCTAGGGACACCCACGAATAAGGCCTGTGTGAGTGTAGGTGTAGGTGAGAGATGAATTCTGAGTGATTCCCAATAACGGGGTCATGAAACTTTCTGACAAGCATGAGGACTGACATCTGGTGGCTTGGAGAGGACTGTTCATAAGATCTGGGCCAGTCTGATGCACCAGCCAAGTCAGGAATCAGAGATGGGCTGTTAGCATAGAGCATCACTGACTGCCACACACCAGTCCACACCAAAGCTGGGGATGGGGGCCTGTCTGGAAGGGCTAGGGCCTGTCTGACTGGGTGGTAGAATAGGGACTGGTCACACTTGGCAGGGTCAAGACACTAACCAGCACTAGGTCTGGAGGTAGATTCTCTGGGGGAAGTGTGGGCGCAACCCTGTGGAAATAAAAGTTCCGCAGATTAGCTCACAAGCTGGGGTGGTGATGGTCTGAGCGAGGTGTAAATATGGAACCTGCCATCACTTATGGGTAACTGAACCGACAACAGTCTGGGCAGCTCAAGGAAGCAGCACCCAAAGGTGCATCATAAAATAGGATGTGGGGTGGGCTGAGCTGCAAGTGGGAGGGGGCAGACCAGGAAGGGCCAAGCAACTCACAAGGAAGAACAGAAATCAGGATGGAGCACAGGTCATTCCAAGCTGGGCTCTTACGCCGACTGGTCTGCATGAGCCAGGGATACTAGGCCACAGCACTGAAGGCAAAGGCGGAGACAGATGAGGGGCTAAGCCAACTAGGTCAGAGCAACCACTGGTACACGAGTAATCTAGAACTGGGAATAGGCTTGGTTGGGGAGCTGTGAGAGCACACCCTTGCTGGATTGGGATTTCCATGGAAGAATATGGGGAATCGGGGCTGTGTTCCGGTCTGGATATGGCTGCAGTCTCCCTTGGCACGAGTGTGGATGGGACACACGGAGTCAGGCTAGACTCCAGCACTACCTGGTGCTCTGGAGAACCAGGGTAGATGCGGGATGGACTAGGCTAGGTTTCTGTCCCTACTGAGCCATGTGTGAGCAGTGTCTGCGTATGGATGAGCCTTGGCTGGGCTGAAACATCCAACAGCAAGAACCAGATTGGGTTGAAGGCCAGCAAGGAGGGCTGGCTCATGGATCCACCAGTATGTACAAGATCTGGCAAAGGGAGAGGTTCTGATGAACTTGGGAAGCTCCTCTGTCGGGACACAGTCCCTTCAAGTGAGCACAAGAACCACAATAGGGAGCAACCAGATCAGGCCAGAGAATGGCACCCACTGGCATACATTTGGCATAGGTCGGGGGCAGACCAGGCTGAACCAGTTCACATCACCCACTGGTGAATCCGAGCACCAGAATAGAGTGTGGGTCAGGCCAGGTTCAGTCGTGACACAAACCAGTGCACATTACAGAATTATAAGGTGAGATGACCTATATCAGATGTGGCCGCAGTGCCCAACCAGCACACATGAGAACGAGAGGTGGAGGGGACAAAGCCAGCAGGGGGAACATGGGCTCCTCTGCTGGACAGCCACTCCCACTGGAGAGCATGAGTTGGGATGGGGGCGAGCCAGACCAGGCAGGGCTACAACACCTGTGGGCCTCATGTGAGCTAGATCAGGAAAAAGTCAGGTTGGGCTGACTATTCTGACTAGTGCAAGCAAAAATTAAGAGTAGGCGAGGGTTGGTTGGGCTTTGCCACAGCAACAGTTGGCAGGGGCTGGCACTGAGGACTAAATCTGTCAAGTTACACTGCAGAACCACCTGGGAAGTGTATAATCTTGGAGTGGGAGTGGCCTAGGAGGGAAATAGTGGGTACCTCCCTCTTGGGTTACCACTCCCACTGGAGAGCACGAAAACTAGGACAGGGGCAGAGATGGCTAGAGAGAAAGGCACCTGCCAGTATGTGTGTGGGCTGGATAGTAGGTTGGTTGGGTTGAACTAGGCTTCAATGCCCACTGACAAGTACGAGAGCTAAATGGGATGTGGGACAGACTGAACAAGTCTGTGGGACATACTGGTATCCAGGGTAAGCAGGGTAGGGACAGGCCTGGAAGGGTTATGGGGAGTCACATCAACTAGGCTGCAGCTCCCATTGGTTTGCGTGAGCGCCAAGTGTGAAGTGGGCAGGATCACGCTGGACTGGAACACCCATCGGTTCACATGGAAGATAGGGCTGGAAACAGAACTGACCTAGCAATTTCAACGACCAGTATAGGTATAAGCTGATTGGGGTGACAGACTGTGCCAAATCCTGTACTGGTAACCACACACAAGAATCAGGTCTGGGGTCACCTCAGACAAAGTTTCTTTGGAGATCCCTCCAACTGAACTGCTGATCTCACAACCCCAACCATGAAGAGACTATGTCAGCCAGTAGATTTTGAAGGGATCTCATCATGATTGGAATAGCGGAATTGGCAGGAATTCAGAACTGTTGAACTATCAAAACCACTGGAGCAGGACCCTCAGAGCATGCCTCACATCGGGGACCTGGGATGGGAGGTTGGGTGGGGCTACTCTCTCTGTTCTTCCCTGACCCCAGATACAGGAAAAAAAATATTAGTGTGGAAACAATGGTATTATCCGGGCCAGGCAGCCATGGCCTAGCGGCTAAAGTCCTCGCCTTGAATGCACCAGGATTCCATATGGGCACCGGTTCTAATCCCAGCAGCTCCACTTCCCATCCAGCTCCCTGCTTGTGGCCTGGGAAAGCAGTCAAGGATGGCCCAAAGCTTTGGACCCTGCACCCATGTGGGAGACCCAGAAGAAGTTCCTGGATCCTGGTTCCGGATCAGCACAGCCCCAGCCATTGCACTCACTTGGGGAGTGAATCATCGGATGGAAGATCTTCCTCTCTGTCTCTCCTCCTCTCTGTATATTTGACTTTCCAATAAATAAATAAATCTTTTTAAAAAAACACATTATCCACTTTCCTGTAGCCTTTGAGCCTTTGTACCCTAATCAACTAAGATTATAAAAAAATAAAATAAAAATAAAATAAATCTTTAAAAAAAAGATGCTGCAAGAGCTGTGTCTGTGTCATACATGCAAGGTGCTACAAGAACCATGTCACACATGATGTCGTACCAACAAGAGCCATGTGTCACACAAGCAAGGTGCTGTGGGAGCCGTCTGCGTGTCACAATGCCAGCGAGAGCTGATCTCCAGTGATGTGTGTGTGTGGTATGTGCTGCCAGCGACCACCCTCGCAGTGACCCTGTGAGAGTCCAGGCTGAACCAGAACCAGAGACACCAGCTGAGAGCAAGCTGGGAGCTGTGGCACAGGGCAGGCAATCAAGCCACCATGCTGCCCCTTGAAGCCCAAGGACATAGGTTGGGGTGTGTGTGTTTAAAAACTTAATTTCTCAGGAGTAGACCTTAAAGATTAACATGAAAGTGCATGGGAAAAACAGACCAAATGGCCACAGCAGCCACATATGGGCCAGATGAAGCCAGGAACATGGACTCCACCACATGGGTGGCAGGGGTTCAAGCATGTAGGCTTTAGTGGGTCGCTGGGATGAGAAGCAGAGTAGCTGGAGCCCCAAGCTGCACTCTGCTGCGGGATGCCAGCATGGCAAGTGGTGGCTTAAAGCTGTATGGCACAACGCTGGCCCAGGTGCTGGCGTCAGAGTGTGAGATGCTAGGTGTCCATGACACCGACTGCTGGGCCTTGCACCCCTCGTTTGCACTCTAACCATGGCCCCGCAGCTCTGCCTGCCAAGAAGCACCGGCTACAGCTTCCATCTCCATGACCTGCAGCTAAAACCAGGGGGCTTCAAGTCTTTATGGAAAGAGCTTTGATCACAAAGAGGTGCTGTATGCAAGGATTTCTTTATCAATAATGCTAGTTACAGACTTCGGAAACATAACCAGGTATCTGTGGGTGGGCCCGTGCAGGCACAGAAGGCCAGCCTCGGGGAGATGTGGGGCCGGGGATGGCCACGGGAGGCAGGCTGCTCTCAGGAGCTGGGTCTCCCCAGGAAGAATGCCAGCAAGGCCCAGGTGGTGAGAATGCCACAGACCCTGCAAGACAAGGGCAGCGGTCACCTGAGCTCCGCCGGCACAGGCTGGTCCTGCCTCCCTCCCAACTCCCTGCCCTGGCCTGGCAGCCTCTCCCGGGACCGACATTCGGGGATGCTGAGGATTCTCCTTCCCAACCAGAGCCTGGGGAAAGGAGGAGGGGCCCAGACACACTGCCAGGATGATGTTGCCCCCAGAGACGGTCCCTGGGCAGGACATCAAAGTCCTCAGCACTGCCCAAATGACAGTTCAGTCCCTGAACCCGGGATTTCCCCTGTACCCTTACCAGGCCTGTCAGCAGCCCTTCCTCTCACCATCCCTACTGGCATCGGGCAGGACGCTGGCACAACCATACCATGGACTCTTCCCGGGAGAGCCGGGCTTGGAGAGCCTCAGTCAGGTCAAGACCTTCTCTGTCTAGTCCCAGGATACCTTATTTCTGAGTGATGCCCACTGCCCCACACTCAGGGAGGATGTGGTCCCGTCTCTCCTTGCTCCCTCCTCCTGCTCAAGAGGACCTCCAGCCCCCAGGGCACCCCACTGCTTCACTCCCTTCTAGGCTACACTCACTCCTCAGTGGGGTTCCAGCATCCCAGTCCGACCCTCTCCCCTCCTCCCGTGAGTGAACACCTGTCCCCAGGTCACTGCAGAGTTTACTTGCTTGCTCCCAGCACCAGCACCCCCCAAGTGGTCTGAGGGCAGGAGCTTGTGCCTTACTCAGAGCCCTGGAACCTAAGCAATGGCCACCAACAGCGGACGGATGGTGTCCCAAGGCAGCTCCCTGCACAGTAGCCCAGGGTTGGAGCGAGTGGTGGGCTCAGGATGGAGGGGGCAGTCAGGTCACTTACTGCAGCACGCAGTTGACAGCAGGGGAGTGCCTCCAGTACCGATAGAGGCAGACCTGCAGGCTTGGGTGGCCCCTGTATTCCTTCAGCACGTTCCGGGCGCTGTGGAGAAAAGCCAGGAGGTGAGCTGGCAAGGTACGTGTGCTCATGGTTCGGGGGACAAACCCGCAGTCCAGGCACCTACTCCTTAAACTTATTGGTCAGAAGCAGGAACTGGCTTCTTGTGAGTCGCCGGACATCAAACTTGCAGAGGTTCTGAAACTCACGATACACCTGCTGCTCACTGACGCTGGGCCACCTCTTGACACTGAGGATGAAGATGGGGGGCCGGAAACTTGGGTAATCCGGACCAGAGAAGTTCTAAGAGGTGTGAAGAGAAGAAAAAGATTACGCATGGTTCTTACTAACACCAGACCTGGTACCAAAATGCTAGATGCAACTCAGGGGGCTCGGGGCTGTGGTACAGGCAGGCAGAGCCGTGGCCTGGGGATGTGGGTGGCAGCTCCCCATGTTGGGGGCGCCAGTTCCTGCCCAGGCTGCTCCACTGCTGATCCAGTTCCTGCCGATGAGTGCAGGAGGCAGCTGATGGCCCAAGGACTGGGATCCCCGCCACCACGTGGGCGGCCCAGATGGCTCTGGCCTGGCCCTGGTCGCTGCAGCTGTTGGGGGACAGAAGCAGCAAAAGGAAGCACTATTGCTCTCTTCATTAAAGATCTAGACAGAAAGCACAGTAACATGGCAGAGGAGGGAAGCGAGGCGGGGCTGCAGCAGCGGCTGGGAGGAAGAGGCAGTGAGGAGTTCAGCAGAAACACACGAGAGGGTGGAGGAGGCACCTGACCAGGACACCCTCCCTCCCACACGCACAGCTTTGCCCTGTGAACCTGGGCAAGAAAGAGGCCAGACGAAGGCTACTCACGACTTTGGGTACACCGGCTCGGATGAGGTTCACTTGGTTCACGTACGGCGCCAGCGTGTCGAGGTAATGTGGGAAGGAGCACTCGGGGAGAGGGCTGTTGCTACACGGATGAGAAAACCCAAAGCACTCAGACCCACGGCGCTTCTGCCCCATCTGGGACCCAGGCACAGTTCTGCAGTGGGGACACGCCTTGAACAGCCCGCAGGCTGGCACCAGAGCCCCTGCCCTGCCCGGCTGGTGTCCCCGACCAAGCCCTTTCCATGGCCCAGCAGAAAGCAGTGGTTGCCTGCAGTGGCCAACTGTCTGCTGCTCATCGACTCTCCGTAGCTCCAAACGGCCTCATCTCACTGACAGCCCCGTCCCCATCCAGGATCACGCACACAGGCCCGGGCTGGCACGGCCAAGAGCAGCCAAGGAACAGAAGGGCTGAGGCTTCAGGGGCCCAGGCACCGAAGCACTGAACTGCCTGCCTGGGTGGTACATAGGTCTCTGCTGGTGGGCACAGGCACGAGGGAGCCCGGCTGGCAGATTTCTCGGGTGACAGAAACAAGCCACAGAGTGCTCGCCCAACCTGTCCCCCACATGTACACAATTGATGCCCGTCCAGAGTCAGCAGGTCTAATCCATTGCTAGGTGAGTCCCAAAGACCACGGCACAGCTGCGGTTCACTCACCCCGCCCAGCCTTACACTACCCATGGCATGCCCTAGGACGTGCGTGGCCAACAGGCACCCAGTGCCCAAGCGCCTGGTGCTGCAGACAGCAGAGAAGAGGCCACCAAGCAGAAACCACTCTAGATTCCAACTCCAGGGTTTCTGACCCTGCCCTCAACATGCGCGAAGGAAAGCTCACTCACCCGTGCGCCCGCTGCAGCAGCAAGTGCGCCACTTTCAGAAGGACTGCGGGAGAGAAAGGATCGGAAATGCACCAGAGCGCTGGGGAAACCCATGCAGGGGCCAAGGGCGCAAGCCAAGGGCATGGCTGGGAGAGCCCAGGACGGCAGGGACTCCTACCTGACCCACACAGGAAGGCATCGTATGCGGCCTCGTGTGGGCACTTGGTATTCACTGCAGCGCATGTGCAGGAGAGAGAACAGGAAGACGCTGTCAGAAACCAGTCCTTTGTCCCCAGCCCTCAGCCCTGAAAAGAAAGGCAAGAACCACGAACCCCCCCCCACCCCCAGCACAGAGGAGCCAGGGCAGGAGGCACGGGGACGGGAGGGGCACAGGAACCTGGCCAGGCTGGGGGCCACGCTCACGAGGACGCACCATATTTCTCAGACTGTCTGGCATGCACAATCTCTGGTCCGGAATTCTTGGTGGGGTTCAAGTTACTGTGGGAGAAGAGATGATGGCATAAAGAGCAGGCCACAGAAACCAGCCCTTCCTGCCCTTCCCGCCTGGCACCTCGGGTCAAAGGGCCGCTCCTCATGGGTGGACCACCTTACGGGCTACATGCGCTGTGTTCTCTCATTCCACATGTGGTAACAGTGAGGCAGAGCTGAGCTACTCTGAGGTTCCTTATGAGACCAGAGTGGCAAGGCTGGTATTTAACCCAGGAGGCGAGGGTAGGCACTGGGCACAGCGGGACAACACCACGTGGAGGCCTACGTCCTGTGGTGGAGTCTCTACTCCACTTACAAGCCAGCTTCCTGCTCACATGCACCCAGCAGCGGATGGCACGAGTTGCTGAGTACCTGCCACTCAGGTGGGAGACCTGGATCGAGTTCCTGGCTTCTAGCTTCAGCCTGGCCCGCCCCCAGCTTCTTGTGGATATTTCAGTGAATCAATGGAAGATGCCTTTTCTTGGTCTAATTATGTCTGCCTGGTGATCTGTCATCCCAATAATTTACTTTTTTACAAGATTCACAGTGTGAAGGACAAACAGAACTTCCATCCGCTGGCTCACTCCCCAGCCAGAAGCAACAGCCAGAGCCGAGTCAATGCAAAGCCAGAAGCCTGGAACTTCCTCCCCGTCGCCCGCATGGGTGCAGGGAGGGACCAGGGCTGTCAACCTTTGCTTTCCATAAGCAGAGAGCTAGACTGAAAGTGGAGCAGCAGGACATGAACCCACACCTACTTGGAATGCTGCTGCTGCTGCAGGAAGAGGATCAACATGATAAGGCACTGCAAAGGCCACTAAACGTCTTAAAAATCAGGGGCTGGCACTCTAGCACAGCAGGGTCAGTCGCTCGCATTCCACTTGGGTGCTGGTTCAAGTCCCAGCTGCTCCATATGTGATCCAGCTCCCTGCTAACACACCTGAGGGAAGCGGTGGGAGAGGGCCCAGGTCCTGGAAGACAGCTGCTTCTTGGTCTCCCTGCAACCACCTGGAGACCCAGAAGCCGCCCTGGCGTCCAGCTTCAGCCAGCCAATCAGCTGTCGTAGCCCTCTGGGAAGTGAGCCAGCCGAGGAAAAACCCTCCCTCCCTTCCTCCAACTACCTAATAAACCTTTCAAAAAAATACTTTAGGGCCCGGTGCGGTGGCGCAAGTGCTTATGGGTGCCGGTTCTAATCCCGGCAGCCCCCCTTCCCTTCCAGCTCCCTGCCTGTGGCCCGGGAAAGCAGTCGAGGACGGCCCAGAGCTTTGGGAGCCTGCACCCGCGTGGGAGACCCGGAAGAGGCTCCTGGCTTCGGATCGGCATAGTATCGGCCGTTGCGGCTCACTTGGGGAGTGAATCATTGGACGGAAGATCTTCCTTTCTGTCTCTCCTCTCTGTATATCTGCCTTTCCAATAAAAAATAATAAAAATAAATCTTTAAAAAAATAAAAATAAATAAAAAAAATACTTTAGAAGAATAAACTCAAAGGCAGGAGTCAGGGCTGTGCTTTTGGAAACACCATGCAGCTCTCCTGGCCCACCTCGTTCTGTACCACCCTGCCAGTGGGCAGACTTCACAGATGCTGCGGGTGCTGCAGAATGAGCATCAAGGATCCATGCCCAAGACCCATGGAGGGCAGAGCAGGAGCCGGGGCCGGGGCCTGACGTGCAGCCGCATGCACACAGCAGGGGCAGGTGGTGTGAGGGTGTGGACAGGGTAATGAGCAGCGAGAGCATGCAAGGTCCCTGGGGAGAGAAGCCTGATCCAGCTGGAGGACCAGGCACCGCCCACCCAGGGAGCAGGTCAGACACTGCATCTATGCATGTGGACAGCAAGAGAAACCCAGGGGCAGGAGGGAGGAGCAGGCCTCAGGAGGTCTGAGGTCACCGGCACAGCAGAGCACAACCAGGCCACATCATGTCCCCAGTGCCTGGCCTGCGTCTTCCCTTCAATCAAGGCAGTAGACAAGCACTGACACAGGCAAACGCAGACCATCAAAGAGATGTCATTGAAGAACAGTCGTGACGGTGGGCAGGATGGAGCCGGAGGGAGGCTGAGCCAGGAGGGACAGCAAGTGCCAAGAGCAACATGACAGGTGAAAGGGCCTCTAGGAGCACCAGAGGGAGGAGGGGATCCCAGTTGCTCCACTTCCATTGCTGCTCCCTTCGAACATGCCTGACAAAGCAGCACAGGATGGCCAAGTGCCCAGGCTCCTGCACCTGGGAGACCTGGAAGAAGCTCCCAGCTCCTGGCTCTAGACCAACCCAGCCTTGGCTGTGTGGCCATCTTGGGAGTGTTCAGCAGATGAAAGACCAAAGAACAAATCTTCAAAAAAAGGATCTGAGGGCCACTGATATTACACGCCGCACCCCATGAAACACCTTCCTTACCTGTTGAGGACTTCATACACTTCGGAAAGATTTGAAACCCTCGGGAAATTCAGTTCCTGTAATGACAGAAGATGAGCTGGGGGTGACGAAGACACCTGTGCTCGGATGACCTGTTTCAGGGATGTGCAAGTGGCCTGGGGAACACCGATCCTCGTAGCCTCCCCCTCCTCGTCACTCCATCCCACGGTCAGCTCTGCCTAGGCCAGGAGCCACTGCTCACGCTCAGCTCACAGCATCCCATTACAAAAGCTGCTTAAGGGATTCTAGAACATGGATCCAATGGCATGAGGATGCCAGGATGGATTTGCCGAGGGCCTGGGGATAAAGCCAGGCCACTCAGAGCCACGGGCTCATTACCACTGGCAACTCCCAGAGGGCAGATGGACGGCCCAGGGATGGCACCCATTCCTGTGCCTCCTGCCTTGACTGAATCAACTGGTCACCCCCAGGGCTTCAAAACCTTGCTTTGAGGTTCTTCAGGTTTTAAGCAGCATTTAGAACAGTTGGCTCCCCTCTTCCCCACATGGGGTGTACACCTTTGACATCATGGCAGTCCCCTGGGCCACACCGGGCCCCAGCCACCAACATGGGTGACCCAGGGAGAGCTCCAGGCTCCTGGCTTCAGTATGGCCTTGCCCCAGAACTTGCAGCCACATGTGGAGTCCACCAATGGAAGAGCTCTCTCCCTCATACCCTATCCCCATCACTCTGCTTTGAGAAGACAGACGGGGCTGAGGAATGACTTTTCCAAAAGACCTGAGATAGCCAAGTGCTGCTTGCGCAGGGGACGTGGTCATTACCTTCCAGATGTCCTTGGTCACGTTCTTGGTGTCAATGAGGACAGGAAACAGACTATGGATATTCTGCTTAAACTGATCGTAGTTCTCTGCAGGGGACAGACCAGGCAGGCAAAAGGGAGCTCACACGTAGCGAAGACAGGAAGATCCCGTCTCTGGACCCTCCTTGCTGCCAGCACCAACTACACCCTAAGTCCCAGGCAAGGAGGACTCTGCCCCAACCCCACCCTACCCCATATTCAGCCACTGTGCTTGCTAGTTCATCATCATGCTAGGGTGCTTTCCACTGCTGGCCACCAGAAACAACGGCCAACCAAGGGCTTCCTCAGCAACCTGCCTCTGAATCAGAGCCCTCTGCTGGGCAGCAAACCAGAGAGAACAGCGGCAGGTGCGCAGGGCGGCAGGTGGCAAGAGCAGGTGTGTGTCTCCTACCTGGGAGGGGCCTGAAGAACTTCTCATGCAGGTGCAGGAGGTCCATCATCATGTTATGCCCCACCAAAGGCTACTTGGAACCAGGTGACAGGCGAGAAAAACAGAACATTAGCAACGCAGCCGAAAGGGAAGTGGCTTTTTACCGAGCATGTGGCCTTGGAACGTGCTGTGACTGTTCACCCTCACCCTGCCCCAGAGGGGCCACACTAAGAACCCCAAGTGCGAAGCAGACACACGCAGTCCCTACCCAAGGAGTTTAGGTCAGCGACCACTGGCTTCCCTGAGCTATCCTAAGAGCCAAGAACCTAGTGGCATTTCGTGTGGCCGGCTGGTCTTCCTCCAAGGTCACCTGGCGTGGTCTGGTGAAAGCAAGGTTAGGACCAGGAAGCCGGTGATCAACAGGGAAGACTGACATCAGACACAGAATACCAGCCAAGGCCGTGAGCTGCAGGGGCCCTTTCCCACCTTCCGGGATTCCACCAGCATCTGGAAGAAGACGGAAAAGCCCCGGGCCGAGAGAAGGATCTTCTCTTTCCAGCAGCTGGCCCGGTCGCCGGACTTGTGCTCCAGGTACCAGCGGTGCTGCCGACTCACTTTCTTCACCATCACCTGACACGGACAGCGAGGTGACAAGACCCCTCAGGCCAGGCTCCTGCCTGTGAACCCTAACTACACAGCATTTCATCTCCAAGCAAAAGCAAGAAATAAAAGTGTTAGAAGGCAAAGAAGCCTCTCAGAGGACAGACGTGGCCAGAGGAGAGATGGAGACGGAGTGAGACAGACTCTGGGAGTGCCATGGTACCTCTCCCCAGGCGAGCACTCACCCCCTTGTCTTTCTCCATGGTCCAGATGTTGGGGAGGGCCTGCCTCAGCACCAACTGGACCTCGAAGGCCTGGAACCCTGAGGCAAGGAGACAGGGGGCACACCTGGAACGGAGCCACGCTTTCCCCCCAGTGGAAGCCCAGAGGAAGAGAAGGCGGGAGACGGAGCAGACGGAAGGCAGCAGACGGGGGTGTCCAAGCCCGTGAACCACGTGACAGGGCACGGCCCAAGGCTTCGATCACGCAGCTGCTGCAAAGTGTTCACGTGGGATACAGCTACTGGTATCAGGCCCAGGTTGTGCTGTAACGGGTTAAGTCGTCGCCTGCAATGCTGGATCCCATACAGGTACCGCTTTGAGTCCTGGCAGCTCCACTTCTGATCCAGCTCTCTGCTTAGGGCCTGCGAAAGCAGCAGAGGATGGCCCAAGTCCTTGGAACCCTGCACCCAGGTGGGAGACTAGGGGGAAGCTCCTGGCTTCGTGTCATCCCAGCTCTGGGGGAGGGGGGAGGGAGAAGGAGGAGATATGAACTGGTAGATGGAAGATTTAACTCTGCCTTTCAAATAAAATATTTGGATAAACCTCAAGATTTCTGGCATCAAATTACATTTTTAAGGGATTTATTTGAAAGAGTTACAGAGAAAAGGCAAGGCAGAGCCAGAGACAGCACTTTGACCTGCTGGCGCACTCCCCCAGATGACCACCAAGAGCCAGGCCTGGGCCAAGCTGAAGCCAGGAGCCAAGAACTTCATCCGGGTATCCCATCCACAGGAGCTGTGCTCTGCTGCTTTCCCAGGTGCATCATCACGGAGCTGGATCAGAAGTGGAGCAGCTGGGACCCAAACTAGAGTGACTTCGGATAGCAGCCTTGTAGGCAGCACCTTAACCCACTGCACTGGCCAAACACCAGGACAGATCGCTCTTTCAATTCAATTTTGTGCAAACTCTTTGAATTAGCCCCATGTCACTACACAATACACCAAAATGCGCTGTCCACATGACCACGACTCTGCACACAGGTCTCGTGTGGGGAGCATCAGGAGGCAGGTCAGCATCTCCAAAGTTTCACTGTTGGACTGAGAGCTTGAGTTTTACCATTAGCACATACTGCAAATTAGTCTCCTTGAAACCACTGATTTTCCTCCATCTCGGAACAGGGCCAAATTATCCCCAACTCCAAATAATCAGTCAATGCATTCCAGTAAAAGGCACATTCCATAGGACAGAAAGAACAGCTCACTCTGCTCTCAGCTCAAACAGCTTGCCTACATGCTGGACCTCCCCATGGGGTTCCAGATGCTGAGACAACGCTTTTTGTATTTGCATTAACACACTAATATATTTAAGACACAAGCAACTGGGGACAGCATGGTGGCTCAACAGGCCAATCCTTCACCTGCAAACACTGGCAGCCCATACGGGCACCAGTTCATCTCCTGGCTGCTCCACTTCCCATCCAGCTTCCTGCTTGTTTTCTGGGACAGCAGCAGAGGATGGCCCAAACCATTGGGCCCCTACACTGATATGGGAGACCTGGAAGAAGCTCTTGACTCTTGGCTTCTAGTTAGCTCAGTTTTGGCTGTTGCTGCATCTGGGGAGTGAACCAGCAGATGGAAGATCTCTCTCTCTGTAAATCTGCTTTTCAAATAAAAATAAACCAATCTTAAAAAAAAAAAAAAAGACAGAAAGGTGCAACCACAGGTTGATGGTTAAGAACTGTGCTTCATCAAGAGGGTTAGGGTATACCTGGGAGCAGTGCAGGTCCACCTGCACAGGTCGATGCCATCTGCCCCGACAGGTGCCGAGCGAGGCACTGGCTGGGTTTCCCCACCACTGCTACGGCCCCACAGGAAAAGGGTACAATGACAGTGGCAAGTGACAACTGACAGATGCCCCCAAAATTGGTTCTGAACCCCGCACACCCCCCGGACAACGGCCTCCGAGACCCCCAAAGGTCCGTGGACCAGGTTCTGAGAACTGCCAAGCTAGGGCATGTCCATGAGACGTCGGTCAGTGAGGATGATGCGGGACTCCCTGGGAAGGGATCAGGACGGCCCGGACGCGCACGCACCAATGATCCCAGGCAGGGTCATGCAGTCGCCTTCCTCGGCTGGGTCCAGCCACCGCGTCACCTCGTCAATCACCACCTTGATTTGGTCTTTATCCAGAGAGCTGCAAATGGCACAGGAAAGGGAAGTGTTGGAGGGAACCACACCAGGACCCCAAGACAATGTGGACCCAAAAGACAATGCTGAAACCTCCAGTCCACACATGCCCATCTTAGGAAGAAAACGATGGAAAGAGGAAAGAGAGGCACCGCTGCCTGTCCAAGTCCTTACACACCAGGAGGCATCCGCTCAGCCCCGTCTGTGTCCCTGGCCACAGCAGAAGCCATGGCACTGGGATGTGGCCAGCGAGAAGTGTCACACCCTTGGGACCCTCTTCCTGCCCCTCAAGGTGCAAAGCACCACCTGGGCAAACAGAGACTTGGTGACCACGGTGCCTATTATCAGGAATATGAGTGCTGGGCTCGGAACATGTTTTGCAGCAAAAAAATTTTAGATTCTCGCAGACAAGGGATCTCCAAAGAGCTCATGGAAACACATCCAATTAAAACTATACACAAATTGGGCCCGGCCCAACTGTGTAGCGGTTAAAGTCCTCGCCTTGCACGTGCCAGGATCCCATACGGGTGCCAGTTCTAATCCCAGCAGCCCTGCTTCCCCTCCAGTTTCCTGCTTGTGGCCTGGGAAAGTAGCCGAGGACGGACCAAGGCCTTGGGACCCTGCACTTGTGTGGGAGACCCGGAAGAGCTCCTGGCTCCTGGCTTTGGATTGGCTTAGCTCTGACTGTTGTGGCCACCTGGGGGTAAACCATCGGATGGAAGATTTTCCTGTCTCTCCTTCTCTTTGTATATCTGCCTTTCCAATAAAAATCAATCTTAAAAAAAAAAACCATATGCAAATTAAAAAGTGTATCATCAAAACAAAATTCCTCCATTTCATTTCCCCTCAAACTCTGAGTTACTCTTATCAAAAACAGAACATTATGGACATGGAAAGCCCTTTTCCCAGCATTTGAAATATAAGATGAAAATTTCAAAATGTTTCCCCCCCATGATTTATTTGAAAACCAGCACCAAGAATACAAATGGAAACACCTGTTCGGCATTACACAGGACAGCTACACAGACCAGGCAAAAGCTGTCGCTTGGGGCCAGTGGCATGGTGTAACACGATAATCCTCTGCCTGCAACACTGGCATCCCACGTGATCACCGTTTCAGGTCCCATGCGTTCCCCGCTTACGGCTTACAAAAGCAGCAGAGGATGGCTCGAGCATTTGGGCTCCTGCACCTATGGGAGACCCAGAATATACTCCAGGCTTCACAGCAGCTAGGCTGTGGCCACTGTGGCCATTTGGGGAGTGGATAGAAGATCCCTCTACTTTTCCCTTAGGGGGGAAAAAAAGCTGTCTCATGTAATCTCCTTCCCAAGAAAGGCAAGAACCTAAAGCCCAAGCAGTGTCACTGGTCCATGATGCACAGCCCTTGGAAACCACTGGACAGGAGCCCAGGTCACCCCGTTCCCACTCAGCAGCCTTGGGTCCCAGGATGAGGTCGGGCAGTGATCCACCACTGGAGACCACAAGCAAGACAACTACAGCAGGGGCAGGCCCACGGAGTGACACAGCCACCAAGGGCTTGTGTCTAATTAGTGTGCTGTGTGGCAGGGCTGCCTGCGCGTTGCCCTGGAAGACTCCGTGGGCAGTCACACAGCACGAGACGGAGGTCTGAGCCAGTGCAGCGCAGCTCCTCCTGGCACCAGGCTACCGAGCTCAGCAGGTATACTGCGGTCACACTGCATATTCCAACAGCATTACAGAGTGGGTCCAAAGTGTCGAGGACCCCAGCTGCAGGCCCGGGCTTACCCACAGGAGGACATGCGTCAGCACCACGGCGAGGCCAGGGAGTGCCTCCCAACCCACCCATGCAAAGTCCACAGAGGCAGAAAGCAAAAGCACAGGGAGCCCGGGCCTCTACCTGCGCACTTTCCAGTTGCCGGCCAGGATGCTGTGCCTGATCTTCTTCTCCTGCTCTTCGTTCATGTAGGGAATGCCCTTTTTGAGAAACTAAAGATGGGAACAAGACAGGATGCTGAGTTACAGGCATCACTCGTGGCAAGCGGCAGGGTGGCAGGAAGCCCCCAGGGTTCGGACAGGGTGGTGGGATGATGGAGCATGAGAGTGAAGACCAGGGTGTGCCACCCACCCACCCCCAGCCCAACAGGCCAGCCTTGGCTCTAGACCCTACCTTGTTATAGTTGAAGCCATACTGATTCAAAAACTGGATGCTGGAAGCCTGGAAAGAGAATTCTGAGTCCAAAATCCCAAATGTTGTGGGGAAGAGAAAGAAGTTGCATGAATGGGCTATATACCTGCAGTGGGAGAGAGAGGAGAGAGATGGCGGAGGAAGGGGGTAAGGACAGAGAAGAAAGGACACAGGGAGGGAGAGGGGGAAGAGAAAGGAAAGGGGAGAGAGATGGGGACAGAGAAGAGGAGAGAAGCATTAGGAGCAAGGCCCAAACCATACAGAACCAGTGCTACCATTAACCTCACCTGCTTCGGGTCCCGGGAGGGGAGGCGGAGGCCAAGATCCTGCCTCAGGGTGTGAGCTCTATCCCACAAGCTTAGGATGGCCAGTTGGTTGCCAGCCAACACATTTATGCCCTCAACCCCCACACAGGCCGACTGACCCAGCGGCACCCTTTCTGATGTTAGGGCCTGCTGGCTACCAGACAGTTTAAGCACTGGGTCCAGTATAACTGCTCTGAATGGGGCAGAAGCAGTGGTGCATGCTAATCCTCCACCCCGTGGCACTAACATCCCATATGGGCACCGCTTTATGTCCTGGCGGCCCCACTTCCCTTCTAGCTCCCTGCTTGTGGCCTGGGAAAGCAGTCGAGGACGGCCCAAAGACTTGGGACTCTGCATCCACATGGGAGACTGGGAAGAAGTGGTGCCTGGCTTTGGAACAGCTTCACTCTGGTCACAGGGAGGGGAGCTGACAGACAAACGACTGTCCTTCATGCTCTGTAAAAATCTGCATTTCCAATAAAAAAATAAATTTTAAGAATAATTTCTTAGCCAGCACAGTAGCCTAGTGGCTAAAATCCTTGCCTTGCACGCCTGAGATCACATATGAGCACCGGTTCATATCCTAGCTACTCCACTTCCCTTCCAGCTCCCTGCCTGTGGCCTGGAAAAGCAGTGGAAGACGGCCCAAAGCCTTGGGACCCTGCACCTGCATGGGAGACCTGCAGAAGCTCCTGGCTCCTGGCTCCAGATTGGCTCAGCTTTGGCTGTTGTGATTACTTGAGGAGTGACTCAGTAGATGGAAGATCTTTCCTCTCCTTCACTCTGTAAATTTGACTTTCCAATTAAAATTTTTTTTTGCAGAATAATTTTTTAAAATTTTTGATTGGAAAGACTGATTTACCAAGTAGACACAGAGAAAAAGATCTTCCACCTGCTGGCTCACTCCCTGAGTGCCCAGGAGCTTTTTCTAGGTCTCCCATATGGGTCCAGGGTCCCAAGGCTTTGGGCCATCTTCTGCTTTCCTAGGCCATAAGCAGGGAGCTGGATGGAAAGCGGAGAAGCCGAGACATAAAACAGCATATGGTATGCTGGCATTTGCAGGTAGAGGATCGGCCATCGTGCCAGCTCCAAATAAATCCTTAGAAACCAAAAACACTTACAAATCCTGCTCTGAGGAAGGGGCACACGAAAAGGCAAGGCCCACAGACAGGAGCAACAGGAAAGGCCCAGGGAGGTGCAGCTTTGAGGTCTGGCAGAGGAGCCAGCCTCTGCAGAGGACAAGAGGGAAGGTGGGGTGCCCAGGGCCCAAGGCACAGCTGCAGGACGCAAAGGGCACAAGCTGCGAGTGTGTGTGCTGTGTGGGCTCACCCTCTGTACTCACTTGTTCGACTCTCCTTGGATTGTAGAGAACACGGACAGTCCTGGAAGAACAAAAGTCATGACTATTTCACGAGACTGCCTGCAGGGGGAGCAGTGACACCAGACACGTTCAGTGACACCAGACCCGTTCGGCCTGGGGCCTGTAGGGCATCTTCCCAGAGCACCAAAAGGCAGAAACAGCCTCAGAACAGGGCAACTAGCTGACTGTAACCAGCACAGGAAACACCAGCTTGTTGCCATGGGAGAGTTCCAATGGCATTTTCAGTTTTTACAACCAACTAGGGGCCTTCTGTTATAGCACAGCCAGTTAAACCACCCTTTGGAACACCCACATCCCATCTGGGAGTTCCCAGGTTCAAGTTCCTTCTGTTCTGCCTCTGACCAGCTTGCTGCTAACGAACCCCCTGGGAGGCAGCAGATGACAGCTCCCTCCTTTGGGGGAGGCATGGCTGGAGTCTCTGGGTGCCTGGCTGCAGCTCCCTGCTCACACCCCTGGGAGAGCAGAAGATGGCCCAAAGCCTTGGATCTCTGTACTCTTTTGGGAGACCTGGCGGAGTTGAGGCTCCTGGCTTCAACATGGTTCAGTTCTGGTTGCTGTGGTTTTTGAGGAGTGAACTCCCTACCTTCCCACCTAACTCTGGCTTTAAAATAAATACATCCTTTAAAAATTTTTTTAAACATAGAGGAAGATCTTCCCTCCAATGATTCACTCCCCAAGTGGCCGCAATGGCCAGAGCTGCACCGACCTGAAGCCAGGAGCCTCTTCCGAGTTTCCCACATGGGTGCAGGGTCCCAAGGCTTTGGCCATCTTCCAGTGCTTTCCCAGACCATAAGCAGGGAGCTGGAAGGGAAGTGGGACCGCCAGGATTAGAATCAGCGCCTATATGGGATCCTGACGCATGCAAGGTGAGGATTTCAGCCACTAGACTACCGTACCAAGCCCATATCTAAAAATTAAATCAGGGGCCAGCACCATGGTGTAGTGGCTTGAGTTCTCCCCTAGGTGCCAGCATCCCTTATGGACACAGGTTCATGTCTTGGCTGCTCCACATCCAACCAGCTCCCTGCTAGTGGCCTGGAAAGGCAGTGGAGGAGTTTTGGACCCTTGCATTCACACGGAAGACCTGGAAGAAACTCCTGGTTCCTGGCTTCAGAAGGACCCACATCCGGCGTTGCTGCCATTTGGGAAGTAAGCCAGCAGATAAAAATCTGTCTCTCGAGCCCAGCACAGTAGCCTAGTGGCTGAAGTCCTCGCTCTGCATGTGCCGGGATTCCATATGGGCACCAGTTCTAATCCTGGCGGCCCTGCTTCCATCCAGCTCCCTGCTTGTGGCCTGGGAAAGCAGTCGAGGACAGCCCAAAGCTTTGGAACCCTGCACTTGCGTGGGAGACCCGAGAGAAGATCCTGACTCCTGGCTTTGGATCGGCTCAGTTCCAGCCTTTGTGGTCACTTGGAGAGTGAATTGTTGGACGTAATATCTTCCTTTCTGTCTCTCCTCCTCTCTGTATATCTGACTTTGCAATAAAAATCAATAAATCTTTTAAAATAAATAAAACAACCAGGTACAACAGCAAAACCACAAACTGAAAAATACACGAATTTGGCTGAAGTATCTTAACGACACACAAAGAAAAATCATTGCAAAGTAGGAGAACAGAAATATTAGCCCAAGCTGCCCCCAGGACGGCTGTCCGGTGCAGCAAAGACCCTGACCGGGAGTCACAGCTGCAAGCCGGCACCAACGCCCAGGTTCTGCTCGCCTCGTCATTTCAGCTCTTTGCCAAGTTCACCTGGGAGGCAGCAGGTGTGGGCTCTTGTGCTTGGGCCCCTGCTGCCCACGTGGGGACCTGGGTAGAGTTCCTGGCTCCTGGTTTCAGTCTTGCCCAGCCCAAGCTGCTGTGAGAACATGGGAGTGAGCCAGCAGATGGGAGACTTTTCAAGTAAGTTGGAAAAATACAAAAATGAAACCTGTTTTCCCATGGCTCCGGAAATGTCACCCCATTTAGGAAGACATCTACAACAAAAGGCCAGCAAGAAGCACAGCCACCAAGTACCACTTACAGTGCCAACAGGACGTTGCCCACAGTAGGATGTAGCCCAGATTGTCTTTTCACTGCCAACGTCAAGCCCTTGCCAGCATGTTCACTTTCAGCAATGTTTCACTGCAGACTCCCTGTTGCTGCAAGTCCTCCAGGCCCAGAGGACGGCTGGGGCAGCACTCCTGCTCCCTGGCCACTCCACCCACTTCCACACCTGCGCCAGCGGGAGACCCAACAAGGCGCAGGGGTGACTTGACTACGACTGTGAAACAATGTGTGCCAATCTAAGAAGATCTCCCAACAAATCCGACGGCAGGAGAGGCAGGCAGCAAACACAGCACAGGACAAGACTCAGTATGACCCGGAATGTCTAAGATTGAAAAAAGTTTCAGAACTGGAACAATAGCAGTGCTCCTTCCGCTGGACTCAGGGTGTCGGTCCCCTGGGCATGATTAAGGCCATGAACAAGACAACTGGACAAAAGCCGTATCTGCATCTTTCGAACAACGTTTCCCCCAGAAAGAAATGGGGCGAAGGGCGTCTGGGAACCCACAGCTGAAGGTCAAACTCACCAATCTGACAGATGGTGAACTGCTGAACACTCCGGCGGGTCTTCACATACCATTCAGACGGCAAGTCAAAGAGACTGTGGGAGACACGGCCATCTCACTCCCCCGCCAGCACCGCCTGGCCTCCCACCAGCCCTGAGCGGTGACCCCCAAAGGGCCATCCCGCCCCCCGGTCAGCGGCCTACACGCAAGCTCACAGGTGAGCCGCCTCCTAGGGACTCTAGAAGAGCTTTTGCTTACCTTATCTGACGGGGCTCCAACAGGTTCGAACGAAGGCCGGTAAACTCTATGTCCAGACCTGCGGGGCAGACGAGCGTCGAGTCCCCAGGCACACCCGTCCCGGGCTCTGAGCGCAGCGGGTGGCTGGCGCGCCGGGCTCAAGGAGAAGGCACAGCAAGCCACCTGTCGCAGCCGGACGCCCCGGAAGTTCTGGCCAGCCAGCGCGGTGCGCGCACAGGCCTCGACGGAGCTGCTTAACGTCCGCGCCGGTGCCCGCGGTGCCCGCCGGCCCTGCCCTGCCCAGCCCGCCCGGCCCTCGGGCCCCTGGCGACCACAGGCGAGCTTCGCAGAGTCGGGGCGCCTTACCCACGAAGTCGGCGCCCAGGACGAGCTCCTGGAGCAGAGGAAGGTTCTCCTCGAACTCGTCCGCACCCACGTCCATGGTTACGCAGCGGGACCGCGGGCACCGGCGCAGCCACGTGCCGCCCGCTCGCTTCCGTCGCGCCGCGGGCCTTAAAGGGCTCGCTCTCGGTGCGGAGTCCCGGCCCCGCCCCGCGGCCACGCACGCCGCCCGCACCTATCGCGCGCGGGGCTTTGATTGTGACGGTTGCTTTGTTGCCGAAGCCCAGCCACCTGGCTGCTCGGCAATCCCTCGGGTCCTTCAGGAGGGAAGGAGATTGGCGGGCACCGAGAAAGGGGAGCTGGGCGGGATGGGAGCTCCGCAGCTGCGCCGGAAGCAAGGCCAGGTTCCGCCCATCCCGCCTTCTGCTGCCCGGGGCTGGCCCTCCCGCGCCGCCCCATGCCAACAGGCTCCCCACTCCACTCTCCGTGTCCCCACCAGCGTCCTCACACGTGGCCAGCCCAGACTTCCGCAGCGCCCCTGGCTTGGTGAAATGTAGCTTTCCAGATCCTTAGCTGATGGACTGCTTAGCATGTCCGTGCCTGTTTGCAGAAATTCTCTATCGACCGTTCATCTCCAAATGCCCACACAACCACCAAAGCCAGAACCCGAGCTGGGTCTCCCGCTTGGGTGGCAGGAACCGTCCCAGGACTTAGAAAGTCAGCTACTGGGGTGCTAGCAGGAACCTGGATCAGAAACGGAGCTGACTTGCAGCAGGCAATATGGCAAGCAGGTGTAGCAAGCAGCATCTTGCCTTTAAGGTGTAAATGTTCCCAGTGAGATATTACAGATACTTATTGATCAAAAGGTAACCACTGCATGGCATGTTGAATCAATGTTTCAGGTAACACTGAACACCCCATCAGCGATCAGCGTCAGTCAGGGAATTTTTTTCTAAAACAACATACGGAGTATCTGCCGGGCTGGGCAGGAGGGCTCCTCATGAAGTCACCAGTTAGGGTGGCCATGGCCTCTAGGGAGTGCCTGGATCCAAGGCCAGGTGGGTTGTCTGCCCCCACCCCCACCCACGTGACACTGGCTTCAGACTCCTGGCCCTTGTAGGTATCTGGGAATGAACCAGCCGACCCAGCCTCCTGCTCTCCCTTCTCCAGTCTGTCAGCCAGAGTTCACACCTGGATGGAATTCAGGGGCTGCTCTCGAAGGACGCCACAATCCCAGCTACGTCAGCTACAGGCAGCAGGCTTCACAATACAGAGCACACACCATCCTGTCCACGTCCACATTAACTTCCTGGCCGCCAGGAAGCAGCCCTTGATGTACCAGGGCCTCCCACACAACTCACCGCAGACCGGCAAACCTGATGTGTGACAGAGAGCTCGAGGCACAGAAAATTCCATATAACCAGGAAATAAGAGGACATAATGTGATTTTATTTTATAGCTTATAAAAAAACAACTTTTGTCCCTCCAAAGTTAATTACAGTTGGTAACTTCTGAATACTTCTCTCATGTCCAAGAGAGGAAGAATTAAGACCTTGACTTAAAAAAGCACAACACACCGGGCAGAAGGCAGGCCTGCATCCCGCGTGAGTGACGGCTCTGCCCCGGGGCTGCCCGCCTGCGGTGGTGGCCGTGTCTGCAGCGGCTCCTGGTTCTGTATTCGCGCAGACAGGCACTGGCAGTGCCCGTGTCTCATTCATAGATCCGCCGAGGCTCCTGCAGCACCACACCACCTTCCGTCATGGCATTCTGCAGGCATTTCATCTGGTTTTGAAGATCAGAAAAGGAGGAAACCATTAAGTCAGAACCACACCGTTCACTTTTCAGGAGACAGAAACAGACAAGCGACTGGTTTTTACTAACCTCCCAGCCTGGATGGTCAGAATATCCTAAGACTGACACTTAGTAACCCACAGGGCTGTCAGGGGCCACAGCACCTCTCCTTACAGGAGCAGGACGGCTCCACAGCCGGTCACCCTGGGACTGACGCCCGGCACACACTGACTCAGGCCAGCTCAGCCTCAACTTGGCTATTAGATCAGGAATACTAGTCCCTGCAGGGGAGGTCTGTGTGGGACACATGAAACCACCATCGTATGTCTAATGTCAAGAATCAACAGAGCGGCTGGCATGCAGGTCAAGCTGCAGTGTGCAGCTCATGTCCCGGCTGTTCCACTTCATCCAACTCCCTGTTAGTGGCCTGGGAAAAGCAACAGCAGATGGTGCAAGTATTTGGTATCCTGTGCCCATAGGGGAAATCCAGATGAAACTCCTAACTCCTGGCTTCAGCCTGGGCCAGCCCTGGCCGCTGCAACTGAGAGAATGAACCAGCAGGCGGAAGATCTCTCGAACTCTATAAATAATAATTGTAATAACATTTTAAAAAATAAAATTAACACAATTTTTAAGAACGTGAAAACGCCAGTACCGAGTCCGAGGCTGCCTCCCAAGGAGTGGGCTGGTAGACCATGAAGTGGATCCCTGCTTCCAGGCACCTCTGGGCCAGCACCCGGCCTATGGTCTCACAGGCCACCACGTTCCTGGTGCTGTACAGGTGCTTCTTAATAGCCCACTCTCGGGTGGATGCCGAGACCACCACCTGGCCACTGCGGTGCTCAACAAGTGCTTCCACATGATGCTGAGTTCTTGTCACTCGCAACCTAAAAGGGATGAGAAGACAAGGAAACCCTGACTGTCTATGTATGCGAAAGGCAAATGCTCCGGGTGCAAACACTCATCAAGGGCTCGGGGTTCAGTTCATTCACTTCAAAACACTTAATCCAGATTTTGAGAAAAGTGTTTTGTCTCTGCCTTTACAAGATATTTTCAGTAAGAACAAACCAATTATTGCCACTTAGCTTGAAACAACAAGGAGAAGCTGGGTCTTTCTACAGAGTCCAGCTTTAAAGAACCACTTCAATGAAGGACTAGGAAGAAGCAGAGCTAAGTTGCTAACTAAATCTGTTTCTTCCTAACACCAAAATAAATGTAAGAAGGAACAAATATTTAAATTTAAATGTGAAAGCAAATACTAAGGGTAACTCAAGTAGCACTCTTCCCCGCGTTAGGGTCTCTAAGGTATCACTGAACTCTGTCCCCCTGGGCCCAGCGGCGTGGCCTAGCAACTAAAGCCCTCGCCTTGCACATACCAGGATCCCATATGGGCGCTGGTTTGTGTCCTGGCAGCTCCACTTCCCATCCAGCTCCCTGCTTGTGGCCTGGGAAAGCAGTTGAGGATGGCCCAAAGCCTTGAGACCTTGCACCCGCGTGGGAGACCCAGAGGAAGTTCCTGGCTCCTGGCTTCAGCATGGCACAGCTCCAGCCATTGCACTCACTTAGGGAATGAGTCATTGGACGGAAGATCTTCTCCGTCTCTCTTCCTCTATGTATATCTGACTTTGTAATAAAAATAAATAAATCTTGAAAAAAAAAAAAAAGACTGTCCCCAAACCCCAATTAATGGAAAAATTGTAATTATAAAAGATAATCACCAATACAATCAGATAATTAAAACCCAAAGCGTTGGTTTCCTGCCACTTAAGTGAGAGACCCAGACCAAGTTCGTGGCTTCGGGTTTCAGCCTGGCGCAGCGCTGGCTGTTGTGGGTATGTGGGGAGAAAGCTAGCAAATGAAATGTCTCTTTCAAATAAAAAAATTTTTAAAGACTTATTTTTATTACAAAGTCAGATATACAGAGAGGAGGAGAGACAGAGAAGATGATCTTCCGTCCAATGATTCACTTCCCAAGTGAGCGCAATGGCTGGAGCTGTGCTGATCCGGAACCAGGAGCCAGAAACTTCCTCCAGGTCTCCCACATGGGTGCAGGGTCCCAAAGCATTGGGCCATCCTCAACTGCTTTCCCAGGCCACAAGCAGAGAGCTGGATGGGAAGTGGAGCTGCCGGGATTAGAACTGGGGCCCATATGGGATCCCAGCGCGCTCAAGGCATGGACTTTAGCCACTAGGCCATGTCGCCAGGCCCTCAAAATGTTTAAAATGAATTTTTAAAATAGTAAGCATGACTTAAAGAAAATATTTAAACTAAGAGTTCAAGACTTTAATGCAAAATAGGTAACATGAGACTTATAAAATTGCCTCTACTCTTGGTTCTACTAATTCTTGCAAAAACAAAACCTCATTAATTTTTTAGAGTGGATCAGCAACCTTTTCCTAGGAAATGCCAGGCAGTAAATAGATTTTGTAGAGCACAGTCCGTTGAAAACTGCTCACCTGAAGCCACTATGGAACCGTGACAGCCAGGTGACACACAAAACATAATGGGCATGCCTGCTATAAGAAACCTTTCTTTGTAGACAATGAAAAATGAATTTCAGCTGATTTTCACAAGTCATGAACATTTTTTTTGTTTTTTAAAAATTAAAAAAAAAATGTAAACACATTTATTTTAAAAGCAGAGTGACACAGAGAGAAGGCTCTTCTATCTGCTGACTCACTTCCCAAAGCGTTGCAACAGCCAGAGCCGGACCAGGAGCCAGGACCTGCACCTGGATTTCCCAGGGGCTGCAAGGGCACAGGCACTGAAGCCAGCTTCCCTGCCTTCCTGGGCACATTAGCAGGGAGCTGGGTCAGAAGCAGCAATTTGATATGGGATGGCAGCACCACAAGCCTTAACTTGCTGTGCCACAATGCCAATCCATAAAAGCAGCTTTAACTTGTAAGCCAACTCTAGACAGGGGGTGCCAGCATGCCCACCTTTGTCTCAGCCATTTGTTCAGTGAAGAGGCAGGACTCTAACTTCCGAGGTCATTTCCCACTGTAAGTTTCCAAAAGTCTCCACTAAGGCTGTTGTGATAGAAAAATGGGGGCGGGGGGCGGTGTACCTGGGCTTCTTGTTGCTTAAGTGACTCACACACATATTAAGTCGATGATGCAGGTTGGTGTTCCCGCAGCTTTTTAGACTTCAGTTTCAGAGGACTGGAAAAGTGAGCTGCCCACTGCCTTGGTTTCACTGCCCCCAGCCCCGACTACCAATCACCCCCTACCCACCCTTTCCTACAAAACTGAAGACTGGGAACAAAGAGAACTTTTACTTTTATCTCCTCCTTCCAGCCAATGCCTAGTAAGCGTTACAGGTCCAATGTTTGTTAAATAAATACAACACTTAGTTATGATTTTCAACTTGTTTGTTGTCATTCTTTATACTCGTTAAGAATTCTTCTATTTTTGGGGTGGGCCTTGTTGCTCAGTGATGTTGGCACCCCATACGGGAGCTTGTGTCGTGGCTGCTCCACTTCTGCTCCAACTCCCTGGGAAAAGCTGCAGAGGGTGGCCCCAGGACCTGGAACCTGCCACCCACATGGGGAGTCCTGGCCGGGGTTCCCAGCTCTGGCTTCGGCCTGTCCACTGCAGCCACTTGGGAGTGAGCTAGTGATGGAAAATCTGTCTTAACTTCCCCCTTTAATGGCCGTGATTTAGTGTCCTGCTCTGAGGTCAGGTAAAACAAGGTTGAACCTTAGCTCTGTCACTTACTACTAATCCTGTCTCCCTAAGCCTCAAACTCTTGCCCCTATAAAGTAGGTAAGACTAGAGAGGGGCTGGTGCTATGGCTCAACAGCTAATCTTCCCTCAAGTGCCAGCATCCCAAATGAGTGCTGGTCCGTGTCCTGGCTGTCAGTTCCTATCTAGCTCCCTGCCTGTGGCTGGGGAAAGCAACTGAGGACGGCCTAAGTCTCTGGACCCAGGCAGGAGATCTGTGATAAGCTTCGGGCTCCTAACTGTGGATCAGCTCTGCTCTGACAATGCGGCCGTTAGGGGAGTGAAGCAGTGGATGGAACACATCCCTGTCTCTCCCTAACTCCGACTTTCTAGGGGCAAATGTTTGGACAGCGATGAGGACGCTGCTTGGGACAGGTGCAATCCCTCACAGTGACAGGGCTGAGCCCCAGCTCCACTTGCAGCTTCCTGCTAACCCCGGGGAGGCAGCAGGTGGAAGTCCCTGGATGGTGAAACTCCGACTCCTGGCTCGGGCCTGGGGTCCCTGGCTGTCGGGGTATTGCAGCAGCAGACCTGTGCATGCAAGACTGGTCTCTCTCTGCGCACTGTGGTGCAGCCAGATCAGACGCTGTCACACGCCGACGGGAATTACCTGTGCCAGAACTCCCGCGAGGGCCACACCGTCCCCCAGCCCCGCTCCTTCCTGGCGACCGCTAAGAGCTCCAGATTGCGGGGATTCCGGTTGGTGAACTCCGGAGCCACGGCTTCGTTCTCCTGAGGGTCCACCTGCGGTGTCACGGCTGGCGTGGACCTGGTCGAGAGGGCTGCGAGCCCGCACCCTGGGAGACGCAAGCGACAGCACGGGTCACCCCGGGGACACCGCCCCTCCTCCGCTCCAGAGGCCCACGGCAGGCCCGCGTGGCCGCACGCGCGGCCATCACAGAGCCGGGGACGGCCACTGCCATTACCGCGCTGTGGGCGATGGGGACGCGTGAGGGAGACAGAGGGCGACAGTAATTACCGCGGCTCCTGCTAACCGACACCACCTCCCAAAGCCGCGACCGAAGTGCCATCGCTGTGAGGATCTCGGGTGAAGCTGTAACAAACGCTCCCTCCTTCTCACCCAGCCCCCAGCAGCTCTTCGGAGGCAGCCATATTGCATGGGTCGGTCATCAAAGTCGTCCAGGGGAGAAGTCGCTCTCCCCCCGGAAGTAGGAAGCCCTGGCCGCTGAGTGGCCCAGGGGGCAGTCTGTTACATCCAATCCACCAATCAATGCTCCCGCCGGCAGCCGTCGCGTAGCAACGCATGGGACCGGGGCGGGCTCGTAGCGTTAATGCTTGTGGCCGCTTTCCGTGGGACCCGCTCAGGGCGCTACCTTTAGTCCCCGTCGGGCCCGGAGCTGAGAACACGTGGGCAGGGCAGCGTCATTTCCTTGTCAAACGGGCTGGCTGCCCTCGAACTGAACGTATCCCCTGATGGCTCCCGGGAAGACTACCCTCTCACCCAGGAGCAGGATCTGGGACAAACCCAGGCCGGCTCGCCTCATGGCCCTGAGTCAGGATCTACGGCCGAAGGCGCCAGCCGCTCCCAACAAAGGGAACCCGAAGTTTCCGGACTCGGATAGGATGCTCCGACCCCAAGTCCCGCCCTCGCGATCGCATTTTCTAGAAAGCGCTAGAAGGTCCAGATGCGCCTGCGCAAGCTTGTCTGGCCAGGCGGTGTAGCCGAGCACTTTCTGCTCCTCTGAATGGCCTAGAGCCCGACTTCCGTTGGCCCTTTTCGCGCCCTTCCCACCTGCTCTGTGAATGGACAGCGCCGCTCGGCCCCGCCCTCCCGCGGTGTCCTCACTTCCGGCGCGCTCACGTTTCTCTTGCCGTTCCCCGTTTCCCGCCGTGCTCCGCGGCCGGGCGCGGCGGGGCGGTGTTTCCCAGCAACCCCCGCGGTCCCTCCCTCTCCGCCGGCGGACATCGTGGTCGCCGCGCGGTGTGAGTGGACGAGCGCGCTGCCGCCATGGAGGGCCCTTTGTCCGTGTTCGGGGACCGCAGCACCGGGGAGGCGATCCGCTCCCAGAACGGTAACGCGGCGGGGCGTGGGGGCCGCGCGGGGCTCCCTGGGCAGGGGAGCAGGTGGCCGGGGTGCGGGCCTGGGCGTCCCCCACCACCCGCACAGCCGCGGGCGGGGCAGCTCGTTTAATACTTTCCTTGAACAAATCTGAAGTCAGCATCTTGCGTTAAAAAGCTTTCAAAAAAGAGAAGCCTCACGGGTCATGGGAGCACCTTGCGGGGTCCGGGGGCAGGGCGAGTGCGCAGCCCCGGTGTCCCGGCACCCATGTTCCTAAAGCCCGTCCCCGTGGGTTGCAGTGATGGCCGCGGCCTCCATCGCCAACATCGTCAAGAGCTCCCTGGGGCCCGTCGGGCTGGACAAGATGCTGGTGGATGACATCGGCGTAAGTGGGGGCCTCGGGGATGCGGAGGGGGGCTCTGCCGCTTGCGCCCCGCGTGACCGTGCCTCCCCGTGACTTTGCTAGGATGTGACCATCACCAACGACGGCGCGACCATCCTCAAGTTGCTGGAGGTGGAACACCCTGCCGCCAAGGTGCTCTGCGAGCTGGCCGACCTGCAGGACAAAGAAGTCGGGGATGGAACGACCTCGGTGGTACATGTTGAAATGCGTGCAGCCCTGCTGGAGGGGGTGGGGGGGGTGTGTGTGTTCATCTGTGGTTTGCAGGTTTCTGGGATGGGCAGGCGGTGTCAGGACTGGCCGCTGGAGGGGCGTCCTGTCAGCTCGCCCGCGCAGTGGGAGCTAGCGGATGATCCTGCAGGAGAGAAACGCATTACTGCACCAGACTTCCAAAGAATGGAATCACTTCTAAAATGTTAAAATAATTCATCCAAGGCGTTTATCTAATGACTTAAATGCAGTGAGTTCCCTCAGAAGAAACGGGCAGAATTTTTTTTTTGAAGCAAATTCTCAGTGTTTGTTCAAAGAAATGTTAAGAAAAGCAAAAATAAACCAAATAGCCACAATGACATGGTGTTGATATAACAACTTGGTGGCTTTTGATGCGGTGTGTGCTGAAGATGGTGGGACCAACAGCTTGGCCTGAAACCTATTCAGTCTGTCAGGTTTTCTCCCATTTGGGCCCAAATTTCACAGTCCTCTTGTTTGCTGGCTTCTGATAAGCGGCTGCTCGGTTCCCTGTCGGCACGGGGCGGGTGCCAGCATGCGACACGCGTCTTCTCCACAGGTTATTATTGCAGCGGAACTTCTGAAAAACGCAGACGAACTCGTGAAGCAGAAAATTCATCCCACTTCGGTTATCAGTGGCTATCGACTTGCTTGCAAGTAAGGTTGCTTACACACAAAGAAATAGTAGCAGTTTTTGTTTTTATATATTTGAAAGGCAGAATTACAGGGAAGAGACAGATCTGCACCTGCTGGTTCCCTTCCCTGGTGGCCACAAAGGCCGAGGCTGGGCCGGGCTGAACCCAGGGCTGCACACTCCCCTCCTGTGTGGGGAGCTGGGGCAGCTGGGCCTCTTGCCTGAGTAGGATGCCAGCCTTGCGGGCAGCCCCCAAAGAATGTATTTCATCTAGTGATTAATAGTCTGGACTTTTAAGGTTTTAAGTAATGGCTGAATTTCAGTTTGAGAAAGTTGCACTTTAGCAGTTCTACTTGAAGAAGGGGTGAGGCCCTAGGGCTTCTGTTCCCATCTGACTACCACATTTTCTTCAGTGAGTAGATTTTAGTGGCTATGCTTGTGGGATAGAGCAAAGTTGCCATGATCTGAAGAGGGAGGGGGTTTTGGTACCCTCCTTCTATATGAAATGGCTGAACAGAACACCATTGCTTTGTGACGCTTTATTGCTGTTGTTAAATGTGATAAAACCAAAAAGCTTGACTGATAACATGCTTCACGTGTTTTTCTTCTGCACCTTAAACAGGGAAGCTGTGCGATACATCAGTGAAAACCTAATTATCAACACAGATGAACTTGGAAGAGATTGCCTGCTCAATGCTGCAAAGACATCAATGTCTTCCAAAATCATTGGGGTGTATCCTTGCAGTGGTCCAGTAAGGTTCTGACTTTCTGTGTTTGGTTTTATGGATAAAATTCAGATCAATTTAAAGCAAAATTGGTGTTGCAGTGAAGAAAAGTAATGCTATATTTAACTTCCTTCCAGTGAAAAGTGTCTGTGACAGTAACTCAAATTACAGACGCCGCTGACTGATACTGCAGCATTTTGTTGGCATAAATAATGCTTGCTTGAGATAGCCAAAAGGAAATCTTGCGTTACCTTTGATTTTTCCTGTATGCCCTTTGTTTCTTCCGGTGTGTTATCCTTAACTGTTAGCTTAGCAATGGAGATTTCTTTTCTAACATGGTGGTAGATGCTGTACTTGCTGTTAAATACACAGATACCCGAGGCCAGCCTCGCTATCCAGTCAACTCTATCAACATTCTGAAAGCCCACGGCAGAAGTCAGACGGAGAGTTTACTCATCAATGGCTATGCCCTCAACTGCGTGGTGGGATCTCAGGGTAAGGTTTAGGATTTGCTCATAATACTTACATTACAGGCTGAAAGTAACTTCGGAAAAGGACAGATTTGAAAAGTGGGGTGGCACAAACCTTGCACCTGTCAGTTCAGTGGTCAGAGGCCACAGTAGCCGAGCTGGAGCTCCGTCCATGTCTCGCGTGGGATTAGAGGCTGTCTTCTGCCTTCCCAGCTGCAGCAGTGGGCAGCTGGGTGTGAGGCAGAGGAGCCAGGATTCAGAATGGGCCTGGAACACTGCACTGCAAGCAGCAGCTTAACACACCGTCCCAGAACACTGACCATAGAGCTAGCATTTCTGGCTCACATGGATTGCATGTCTCTAACGAACACATGCAACATAATAGGGTGAGTGCATGTGAAAGATGGTGCTTGTTAAATGCAGCACATTCTTATGTAAATATATGTTTTGTGAAGCAGTATTTTTAGAGCGGCTGTAAGGCAGCTTAATGTTAATTTTGCTTGATTGCAGGCATGCCCAAGAGAATAGTTAACGCAAAAATTGCTTGCCTTGACTTCGGCCTGCAGAAAACCAAAATGAAGCTTGGCGTACAGGTGGTTATCACAGACCCTGAAAAATTAGACCAAATCAGACAGAGGTATGTTGGGGCAGGATTTGGGGTCTTAGAAAGGGTTGTGTGTAAATTAAAATTAGAGTGCTGTGTCTTTGATAATGGAGGAGGCTATATAGGAACCATTTGTTAAAGTCATCCCATTTTGCAACTGTGGTAGTTACGCTTTAAGATTTGGTGTAATGGAACCTGTTTAAATCAGTCTTCTACAATTGGGTGTTCTAAGTTCACTGACATTGAAAGTGTGGAAGCCAGGAAGGAAGCTGTAGCACAGGGCCCAGCAGTGAGGTGCCAGGTAGGTTGAGGGTGGGGTGCTGGTCTGCGTTTTACCTGCCAGCAGCACTTGCTCCCCTGTACTCTGCTTGCCTCAGGAAGGCTCTGGACTTTGTAAACGTATGCATGATACTCCTTCCTTCCTGGGACACTTGGGGCAGGGGTGGTGCTGCAGTCCCTTGTCTGCACGGCCTGTCCTCTGTTGCCCATTCCTCTCCCTGGAGGAGCTCCCTTGTCACTGTGGCTTTAGGACACATCTCAGAAGCTCCAAGTGTGGACATCGGTCCAATTCTGTGCTTCTGAGTGTTTGTGGTTGCTAAGATGTATGTTGATAGAGGCCTTTGGTCCACTGCTTTATTTTCTAGAAGACTGCAGGGACTAGGGCTAGACCAGGCTAGAGCCAGGAGCTTTGTGCAGATCTTGACGTGGGTGGCAAGAGGCCAAGCACTCGGGTCATCTTGTTTTCCCAAGCCACTATCAAGGAACCTGATCAGAAATAGAATAGCAAGCTTCTGAAATGGCGTTTTTGTGATAACTGCATTGCAAGCAGTGGCTTCACCTGGTGTTCCACAACATTGGCCCCTGATTGGGTTGATGCTGAAGTATCTTGAGGCCTTTGTGTCTAGCCAGCTATGTGGTGGTGTCCATTATGGGAGCCTTCGCACAGGTAGTTTAGCTCTGCTTGATTAGTACCTACCATGTCACATCCACGCACTTCCTATTTCCTTCACTGCCCCCAACCATTGCAGAGACCCCCAAAGTTGTCAGAAAGCAGAATGTTAGAGCTTCCATCTGCTGGATTACTGCTAAGAAACTGCAAGTGGTGGGGTTGTGCCAGGCTGAATCCCAGAGCCAGGCATGCCATCCTGCACTCCCACGGGGTGGCTGGATCCTGGGCCATGGAACAACAATCACTCTAGGATGGATGCTGACATTGTGAGCAGTAGTTGAACTTGCTGTTCCCCAACACTTGTCCAAACTATTACGTTCCTGATCACACTTCCAAATTAGAAACTCCAGTTGGGGTTGGGGAGAGCATAGTTTTCTTTCATTCCTTGACCTTTTCCAAACATTGGACTAAGCCCAGTTCTGGGTGTGGATGGGAAAGAGCTAACATTTGACACATAGTTGTTTTGTGGATGAGTAACGCAGCTTTGGGTTACTAAACTCCTTTCTTTGTAGAGAATCCGATATCACCAAGGAAAGAATCCAGAAGATCCTGGCCACCGGTGCCAACGTGGTTTTCACCACTGGTGGCATCGACGACATGTGTCTCAAGTACTTTGTGGAGGCTGGTGCCATGGCAGTTAGAAGAGTTTTGAAAAGGGACCTTAAACGCATTGCTAAAGCTTCTGGAGGTACGGTCCCTGCCGCGTTGGCCGGGCTCCTCGGGCAGCTCACCTGACCGCACACGGCGCTCCTGTGCTTGGTGCTCCGGGTGGTGGTAGTCTCTGTTGGGCAGAGACTCTGTTCCTTACATTACTAAGCGCGTTGGAAATTCATTTACTGAACTTGCTCATCTTGGTGACAGTGCATCACTTAAATTAATTTAAGACAAGAAGATCATCATTGACATTTATATTTTATACCTCTCAATAGCGACCATTCTGTCAACTCTGGCCAATCTGGAAGGTGAAGAAACTTTTGAAGCTGTAATGTTGGGACAAGCAGAAGAGGTGGTACAGGAGAGGATCTGCGATGATGAGCTCATCTTAATCAAAAAGTAAGAGCGACTTTAAATCACAGAGCTGTGCGGTTTGGTTGCTTCCCATTGATTTGCTGCTCTGGTCTCACAGTGCTACGAGCAGTTATACGCATGGGATAGAAGAAACGTGGACCCTTGTACATGGAGGTGGGCTGACAGTGCCACCTCCCCTACGTGGTCTAGACATTGTGTGACTTTCCAGGGTCTTGCGGGGCGTGCCTGCCGGCTTACTGCCTGGAAGTGCTGGTTGAAAATTTGCTTCCTCTTTGACAGCACAAAGGCTCGTACATCTGCCTCGATTATCTTACGCGGTGCAAACGATTTCATGTGTGACGAGATGGAGCGTTCTCTACATGATGCCCTTTGTGTGGTGAAGCGGGTGCTCGAGTCAAAATCTGTGGTCCCAGGTGGGGGCGCTGTTGAGGCAGCTCTTTCTATATACCTGGAAAACTACGCCACCAGCATGGTAAGTTAGAGTGTGGGCGCACTCTGGCAATTTTTTTTATTATTGGAAAGATAATACAGAAAGAGTAGACAGAGGAAGACCTTCCATCCGTTGATTCATTCCAAGTGACCACAATGGCTAGAGCTGAGCCGATCAGGAGCCAGGAGCTTCTTCCGGGTCTCCTATGCAGGTGCAGGGTCCCAAGGCTTTGTGAGCCATCCTCCACTGCTTTCCCAGGCCTTAAACAGGGAGCTGGATGGGAAGTGGGGTTGCCAGAATACGAACAAGCATCTATATGGAATTCCAGCGCATGCAAGGCAAGGACTTTAGCTATTAGGCTACCATGCTGGGCCCACTCTGGCTTTTTATTATTATTAACACACCTTGTCACTTTTCCCTTATGTGAAAATGAGTTGTCTTTCCTAGGGGTCTCGGGAACAGCTTGCTATTGCAGAGTTTGCAAGGTCTCTCCTTGTTATTCCTAACACACTGGCAGTGAATGCAGCCCAAGACTCCACAGATCTGGTTGCAAAGTTAAGAGCTTTTCACAATGAGGCTCAAGTTAACCCAGAACGCAAAAATCTAAAATGGTAAGTACACAATTGCCCTTCTTTGGTGCCTATATATTTTTTAAAGATTTATTTTTATTATTTTTTTATTGGAAAGGTGGATAGAGGAGAGACAGAGAGGAAGATCTTCCGTCCGATGATTCACTCCCCAAGTGAGCGCAATGGCCAATACTATGCCAATCCGAAGCCAGGAGCCTCTTCCGGGTCTCCCATGCGGGTGTAGGGTCCCAAAGCTTTGGGCCGTCCTCGACTGCCTTCCCGGGCCACAGGCAGGGAGCTGGAAGGGAAGCGGGGCTGCCGGGATGGAACTGGCGCCCATATGGGATCCCGGGCGTGCAAGGCGAGGACCCCAACCACTTGCGCCACCCCGCCGGGCCCAAGATTGTCTATATTTTTAAAACGTTTTGTTTGTAGCAGGTTAAACCTTTTTAGCTTTTCCAAGGCCTTGAAAAGATAGTGGTTAACGACAGGGCCAGCAGACTTGGAAAAGGGACTCCACACATTGGGAAGTGTCAGTGTGACTGACCCACTGATGTACCTGAACTCTGGGGAGTGGTCTCGCTTGACCTGTGGGCCTCCTGTCTAATGAGGATGCATTCACACAGCTGTGCTTGGATCCTGCCCATGTGTGTATCCTTAGAGTACTTAAACCAAGCCAGACATCACTGGCCACAGAGTCTGTCTGGATATCTGGTCCATAAACCACACTTTCACCATTTACACTGTTCTAGAATTCAGTGATTGTTCAACAGGTCACCCAGGCAACTTGTAAGGGGCTGTTTTCTGTTTCACTCACAGGATTGGTCTTGATCTGGTTAATGGAAAGCCTCGAGACAACAAGCAAGCAGGGGTTTTTGAGCCAACTGTGGTTAAAGTGAAAAGTTTGAAATTTGCCACAGAAGCTGCGATTACCATTCTTCGGATTGATGATCTTATTAAGTTACATCCAGAAAATAAGGATGAGAAGCATGGAGGTTATGAAGACGCCATGCACTCTGGAGCCCTTGATGACTGATCAGACTTCTTTATTTATAACAATGTTAGAATTGTCTTGTACCTTACGTATTACACATTAAAGTACAGTGTGAGCCTGCATTCTTGTGAAGTAGAGTGATTTCCATCTTCACTTTGGTCCTGGGGTTTCACATTGCGCCTTAGTCGTCGATTGGCTGTCAAGGAAGGAGGGCAGAGGCCTGGGCATGGTGTGAGCTGGGTTCACTGCTCATCCTCTCTGGACACACATGGCTATGCCCATCCCACCACCAACACACAGGGCTGCTACTCCCCGGGTTCCACCAGTCCTCTCCAGTGCGTGCAGCAGGGTCACCAGGATGCGGCAGCCAGAGGCTCCAAGAGGGTGCCCCAGGGCTATGGCACCCCCTTGGATGTTGACCTGGGAGGGGAGGGGGCAGCGTTAGCATCACTCCAGCAAACTGCCCTTCCAGACGCGCCCGGCTGAGGAATACGTCACAATCCTGCCCCTTGTTCTTTCAAATTTTAAAAAGCATCTTGTCGGTGCCTGACAAGATTTCCCACCCAGGGAAACAATGAAATCCCGAGTCCCAGCAGGAACATGACCAGCATCTTCACTCCCAAATACCCAGTAAACGTCAATACTGGACACTCCTAGAGGTTCAATAATAGCATGATCTCTCCTGCACTGCCACCCTTGGCTACCTTCTCCGGGTTTATTCCAAGTTCTTTAGCAACTGCCACTGACAGGGCTGCAAAGGCTTCATTGATTTCAAATATGTCGATGTCATCCAGCGACCAGCCGGCTTTTGCGACCTGAGGAAAGGAGAGGGCCCTGAGGTGCAGACCAAGAACGTGGGGAGCCCAGGTCTGAGTATGTGCCACTGGCCACGGGCAGCGGCTTCACATTATGCACATAAAGAACAGCCACTGTAGATTGCTGAGACGCTTGCTTTGGGGTACAAAGCATCATGTACAGATTCAAAACCAAGTAAGGGGAGGAAGCCCCATCTAGGTGGGGGCCAGCTGCATGAATGAGTCCATGTAAGGTAAATGGGAAGGCAGGCTGAGGGGGGCAAAGATGACTCGGCAAAAAGACCTAGAGTAGTGCAGACCCTGACTGGTCTCAGTGTCCGCCCCAGCAGGCAGGGAGAGGGTGGGGGAAAGACAACTCACAGCTTGCTTTATTGCTGGAATCGGTCCTGTTCCCATGATGGAAGGCTCCACGCCTGCTTGGGCCCAGGAGACAATCCGCGCCAGAGGTGCCAGCCCTCGGTTCTCGGCTTCCGACTTCTTCATGAGAAGCACGGCAGCGGCGCCATCATTCATTCCTGTAAGATGGGAGGGACTGGCCTTCTGTCATACTTCTACCTCCAGCTACTTTCCTGCCACAAAACACCAGTTAAATAATCCTTCCATCTTGACAAAACCATCTGCCATCAGCTGATGACATTGTAGTTGGAAAAGGAAGTTTTGTGACACTGCCGTGGCTTGGCTAGTTTGAGCCTTGGCCTGCGGTGCTGGCATCCGATATGGACAATATTCAAGCACTGGATGCTGCGCTCCCATGCAGCTCCCTGCTGATGCACCCAGGAAAGCAGTGGCGGCTGGTCCAGCTGCTTCGGTCCCTGCACCATGTGGGAGACTCGGAGGAATCTCCTGGCTGTAGCCTGGCCAGCTCTAGCTGTGCTCATTGAGGAGTGTTCTCTGCAACTCTGACTTCCCAAATAGGATAATCTTTTTCATTCACTTTTTTTTTTTTTTTTTTGCAAAAGCAGGTTTAGAGAAGATACAGCGAGAAAGGTCTTTCATCTGATGGTTCAGTTTTCAAATGGCTGCAGGGCCCAAACAAATCTTAAAAAATTCAGTGACTCACCAGAACCAGGTTAAGATGGCACTGGGGGTGGGGGATAGGTGGAGATTAACCTCAGGCCTTACAGGAGGTAGGGGAGGGGTTTGGTAGTAGAAAAATACAAAAAATTTTACGTTTGTGGTCTTGTTGGGCTCTCGGTGGAGGTTAAATCTGATCACAAATTAAGAAACTAGATTTTTCATTTAAAACAACAGGTAACAATACTGTGGGAAAATCAATAAGCTTGGCCTATCCCTGTGATCTGCAGTTTCAGCTGGTCTGCTTGGAGCTGGGGGTGGTGACAAGCTGAGCTAGGCATCACCATGGAACCCAACACTCATCAGTACTGGGATTGGGTGCAGACTGTTGGTCCAGGCTGCAGCACCTGCAGACACACCCAAGGATATGATGTGGGGTGGGGCAGGCCACAACATCTACCGCTCATACATATGCAGGAGGGAGAGGGGGTAGCCTATGAATGGTAAGGGCCTAGCATCCACTGGCACATGTGAGATCTGGGTGTGCAGGATGAAACCTGGGAAACTCCCGACAGCCCGCTGCTCCAGCTGGTGAGCATGGGATTCAGGCCTGGGTGTTGGTCAGACCAGCAAGGGCAGCTCCGCCTGTCTGCACGTGTGGGGTGGTTTTGGAAGGGGATGAATCTGGCAGGGCCAGGACAACCTTAGCTCACTGACAAGTGCAGGAGCCAGACTGGAATGCAGGGCATGCCTGGCTAGGCAATCCCACCTGCTGGCTTGCATGAATTATGGATGGAAGCAGACTGGGCAAGGCCAGCCTGGAGAACTCGCCAACAAGAGGTGGGACTGGGGGTGGGCCAGGTCAGGCCAGGCTGCAGCATCCCATGGCAACAGCCAAGAGAGGGGATGGGCTATGTAGAGCTGGGTCAGAGCAACCACCTGGCATGTGTGAGATCTGGGGCTGGGAACAGGCCTGGCTGAGGAGCTAAGAGGATGCCCTAACTAGGTTGTGGTTCCCACTGGTGAGCACATGGGGGTGGTGGTCTGGGCTGGACATGGCTGCAATGTCTCAGCATAGGTGTGGACAAGGTCTGGGGTGTGCCAGACTAGGCTAGACTCCAGTATCCACTGGTGCTCACAAGAGCCAGAGTGGGTGTAGGACAGGTTAGGCTAGGTTTCTGCTCCCACTGGGCCACATGAGAACTGTCAGGACATGCAGTAAGGTATAGCTGGGATGTAACATCCAACAGGAAAAACAGGGTTGGGTATGGGCCACCTGGACAAGGCTACTGTTCCTGCCAAGAGAGGAGGTGGACTAAATCAGCCTGGACCAAGGACCCACTGGTGTGTGTGAGATCTGTCACTGAGAGGAGACCCAGTAGAGGAGCTTGGTCCAGGGTACAGTCCCTGCAGGTAAGTAAGTGCAAGAACCAAAACAAGGAGCAGCCAGGAGCAGCCCAGGTTACAGTATCTGCCAGCGTATTTGTGGCTCAGGTCTGGGAGCAGGCCAGGCTTAGCCAGTTCATAACACCCACTGGCAGATTTGAGAACCTGGATGTAATGCAGGACAAGCTGGGTCTGGCTGCAGCACCAACTACTTCACATTAGAGCTAGGATTGGGGGCTGACTGTGCCAGGTTGGGTGGCAGCTCCAGCCGGCATGACCCACAATGGGCCAGGATACAGCACCAGCCAGCAAATACTAAGGTGAGACTGGCCATACCAGAACGGGCCGCAGCACCTACCAGCACGCACAAGATGAGGACATGGGGTGGAGAGGGAAGCCTGGCAGTGTAGTAGTAGAGATTGCTGTGAGTGTGGGCTGGAGGGTGGAGTCAGTTGGGTCGAGTTAGGCTTCAATGCCCAATGATGCATACGAGATCTCAATGGGATGTGGGGCATAACAGACCAGTCCACTGCACATGCTGGCAGGTTCAGGAACCAGAGCTGGGGGGCCAGTCCAGTGGGGATTATTGAGAGTCGCTCTGGCTGGGCTGCAGCTCCTCCTGTGGTACAGGAGGGCCGTATGTTGGACGGGGCTGGGCCATAGCACCCATTGGATTGCTGAGGATGGAGGGCAGACCCCAGTGAAGCTTGACAGTAAATTTCTGAGATTCGGAGGTGGATCATGACAGCCAATCAACCTCAGAAGGATTTTTGCATCCTTAGAGCATCTTAGAACTATAGAACCATGAGTAGAATCCTCAGAAAAAAATAATACGGACCCAGGGATGACATCAGGTGGCAGCTCCCCATCCCCGGGGTGACATGGAGGTTGGAAGGTTGGGCGTGGTGTCTTGTCTTGTATCCCCCTCTTCCTCATATACAAGAAGAAAATGTATAAACAATGGTCTCACCCATGATCCCCAGGGGATCCTCAACCCTTCCCACACTCATCAACTATGCAAACATAACCAAAACTAAAATCTAAAAAATTACAAACACACACACACACACACACACAAAAGAAATAAGCCTGACAGAAGCGGGCACAGCCCCAGTTCTCCAGAGGCCGACCTGAAGCGTTGGCTGGGGTGACGGTGCCTGTCCCGTCAGTCAGGAAGTAAGGCTTCAGCTTGGACATGGCCTCTAAGCTGCTCCCGTGGCGGGGAAACTCGTCCGTTTTCACTTCGGTAGGTCCTGAAAAAGAACCACTCAACATCACCAGGGTCTCACAAGCCTAGGACAACTTCATGACTGCTGCAGAAGAACTAACGTGCGGGTGGGCATTTCCTTAAGACCCCTGCATCCATCAGAGTATCCGGAAATGAGTGCCCAGCTCAGCTCCCTCTTCCAGCGTCTGGGGAGGCAACAGGTGGCAGTTTAGGTACCAGGTTGCTACCATGCTCACGGGACACCGCCTGGCCTACCGGCTCCTGGCTCACTGGGGCCTTGCCCAGTCTGTCGCAGGCGTTTGGGGAAGCTCTGTTTTTTTTTCCTTTTTTGAGATTGGTTTATTTCACTAAGCATGATTTCTAGTTGCAACTGTTTTCTCACCAAAAAAAAAAAAAAAATTTCATTCCTTTTATGACTAAGCAGTATTCCATCATGTACATACACTACATTTTCTTATCCAACTCTCATTGATGGACTTTTGGGTTATTCCAGATCTTAAACACTGAGCATTGAGATGCAGTAAACACAGGAGAATAAATAACTTTCATATAGTGATTTCATTTTTTAAAATTCCGGTGTTTCTTGTCTTCTTAAATTTTGCCAATTTCATTTTGCTTAAGTCCATTCCCAGGAGTGGGATGTCTGAATCATAGGGTAGAAGAATTCCCATACTGTCTTCCCTGGTTCATATTCCTGCCAAGAGTGGATTGGGATACCTTTTCCCTCACAATTCCTGCCAACATTTATAATTTTTTTTTTTTTTAATTTTGGATAATAGTAATTCTAACTAGGGCAAGGTGAAACCTCATTGTGTTTTAAAATTTGCATTTCAGGCCCGGCGCGGTGGCGCGGTGGCGCGGTGGCGCGGTGGCGCGGTGGCGCGGTGGCGCAGTGGTTAAGGTCCTCACCTTGCATGCCCAGGATCCCATATGGGCACCGGTTCTAATCCCAGCAGCCCCGCTTCCCTTCCAGCTCCCTGCCTGTAACCCGGGAAAGCAATCGAGGACGGCCCAAAGCTGTGGGACCCTGCACCCGCGTGGGAGACCCGGAAGAGGCTCCTGGCTTCGGATCGGCATAGTATCGGCCATTGCGCTCACTTGGGGAGTGAATCGTCGGACGGAAGATCTTCCTCTCTGTCTCTCCTCTCTGTATATCCGCCTTTCCAATAAAAAAATAATAAAAATAAATCTTTAAAAAAAAAAAAAATTTGCATTTCCCTGCTGGCTAGCGATTCTGAGCATTTATTTATGGGGCGTTGGAAGTTCTGTTTCTTAAAGCTTTTCACTAAGGATTGTACCATCTTCAAGAGGCACTGAATGGGCCTGGCGTGGCATGGCCTAGTGGCTGAAGTCCTCGCCTTGAACGCACTGGGATCCCATATGAGCGCCGGTTCTAATCCCAGCAGCTCCACTTCCCATCCAGCTCCCTGCTTGTGGCCTGGGAAAGAAGTCAAGCATGGCCCAATGATTTGGGACCCTGCACCCATGTGGGAGACCTGGAGGAAGCTCCTGGCTCCTGGCTCCTGGCTCCGGACCAGCTCAGCTCTGGCCGTTGAGGTTACTTGGGGAGTGAATCATCGCACGGAAGATCTTCCTTTATATCTCTCCTCCTCTCTATATATCTGACTTTGTAATAAAAAATAAATAATAAAATAAATCTTTTAAAAAGAGAGAGAGATTGAAGGTTTTCTAATCCACAGCCCTTTCGGAAGCAAGTAATCATGGGTGGCTGTCCAGGTGAGCCAGGCACACCCAGCCTCTGGACGTGGGGATGTGGGGAGCACAGAGCAGCGGTGGGGTGACCGCCCTCAGGTGAGCCAGCGGAGGATCCCACGAGGAGTTTACAGAGCCGAGTGCCCACCTTTCCTGGACGATACCACCACTGGCACGATCTCTTTGTCGAAGTAGCCGGCCTTCTGTGCGCTCTCGGTCCGGCTCTGGGACAAGACCGCGACCCGGTCCTGTTCTTCTCGACTCACCTGCCATTTTTTGGCGACATTCTCAGCTGTGAAAGACAAAAGCAAAACATCATGTGTGTGGCGCGGCTTCTGGTGGCTCAGACTGTGTGGAGTGTCAGGCACGGCGATACCCCTGGTGCCACGTGCAGGGGACAGGGGAGGCTTTGCTGCCACCCCGCCTCCCCCTGACCAGGCTCCGTTCATACTTTTGTTCCCTTGTAGCACTTTTAGTACCTGCCCTCTGCCTGCTCTCCGGCCGCTCTGCTGAGCTCCTGCACCACGGCAGTGCCAGCCAGCATCAGGAACCGCAGCCGCCCCACTGCCTTAACACCGTCGGCAAATCAGACTAAAAGCGGGCTCTGCTGCCCTTTTACTCACAAGCTCTCAACCTCTCACCCAACCTCTGAGCTGACCCACATTTCTTGTGCCCAGACAGCGTCCTGACAGCTATTTTTTATTTTTTGGACCCAGCCAGTGTTTCACCACTCATGTCCCAGGAATAGTTCCTCAGGCCGGTGGTTTCTAGAACAGAGTCAGTTCTTTCGTAATTCCTGTCTGGCTCCAGCTCATGGTTGCTCAAGAACACACTTAGACCAGGCTGGAAGGGAAGTGGCTGATGGTGAGGGCTGCTCAGTGAAGCCATTAGGACACAGGTAACGAGCCGTATGATCCCAGGTTGGGCAGACTTTGATCACCAAGTTACAGCACTACAGGAGCAGTCACTGTAAGCTATACTGTGTTAACTGGAGATTATATAAATATCTCCTTACTCATCAAATTTTACTCAGGAGTTGTAGCATCCTTTTTTTAAGATTTATTTATTTTTTAATTAATTTATTTATTTTTAAATTGAAAGGTAGAGGGGAGCATAGTAAGAGGGGAGGGTCCTGGAAAAGTGTTGAGACCCCACAGAGGAGCAAACTGGGGCTTGGCCAGATTCCACCCGCCTCAGCCCTGCTGTATTCCTTCCGGTCTTCTGAAGTGCCCTGAGCGGAGCCCGTGACTCCTCACAGCACGGGGAGAAGGGACTTGTGTCTTTGGGGAATAATGGAACGGGGAAGCAAAAGAAAGTGAGGAAGTATGAGGCCATGAAATGCTTAGTCTCAGGGATGAGTGGATTAAAGAAAAGGACAGGGCCCAGCATGATAGCGTAGTTGTTAAAGTCCTTAACTTGAATGCTTCAGGATCCCAGTAGCTCCACTGCCCATCCAGCTCCCTGCCTGTGGCCTGGGAAAGCAGTCCAGGACAGCCCAAAACCTTTGGTCTCTGCACCCACATGGAAGACCCAGAAGAGGCTCCAGGCTCCTGGCTTCAGATTGGCTCAGCTCCAACCATTGCAGCTGCTTGGGGAGTGAATCATCGGACGGAAGATCTCTGTCTCTCCACTCTCTGTATATCTGTCTTTCCAATAAAAAAAAAAAAATCTTAAAAAAAAAAAGGATAGATTAAAGCCTAAAAAGAAGAAAAATCCCAGTGCACTAAAGGAAAGAGAAGACCTGCAGTGCCTTTCCTGCTTATTCTCCAGTTTAACACAGAACTGGGCCCACCTCTCCACAACCTCGCTGACACTAACTTCATCAACTTTTCCATTAAAGCCAAGCTGGACTTAGTACAACCAATGACAATCAGTACAATCTGTATGCCATGTGTATCGCTTGTGTGATTGCGTCACGGCAGAAATTGAAAAATCGGGGGCAGAGTATCAAGTGGCACTAAGGATTGCCAAGCATCTAAGATCTGAATGATTACCACGTTCACACAAAGGTTCCTATCTGGACGACTGCTTAGTACAGAGTGACTCAGTGCAAGTGTTACATCTTGGACCTGCAATGAAGAATCCAAAAGAACCCTGGAGTTCCTATCAGGTGCATCTCCAACCAGATACAACATTGAGCGGATGCCGGATGATCCCGGAGCCCCCTGGCTCTAATCCTTCCGAGGTGAAGGTTCCTGGCCTGCACGCGACCAGCTTCATCTGTTGCTAGTTCATTGGACATGGTATAGAAGAAATTATTATTTTCTTCACAAATTTGCTGTGTAATGAACTGAGTATGATTAAATATACTTTCTTAAGAAAAAAAAAAAAAGAACAGTAGATACAGGAAGGAGGAGACACAGAGAGGAAGATCTTCCATCCATTGATTCACTTTCCAAGCAGCTGCAATGGCCGGAACTGAGCCGATCTGAAGCCAGGAGCCCGGAACTTCTTCTGCGTCTCCCACATGGGTGCAGAAACCCAGGACTTCAGGCTGTCCTTGACTGCTTTCCCAGGCCGCAAGCAGGGAGGTGGATGAGAAGAGTGGCCACTGGGATTAGAACCAGCATCTATATGGGATCCCGGAATGTGCAAGGTGAGGACGTTAGCCATTAGGCTACTGCACTGGGCCTGTAGCATGCATTCTTTATTTTTAATGCCAACATTCCTTCTACGTGTGTCAGTAGCACTGAGAGCCTCATTCCTTGTGGTGGAGAAAGATTCAGAGACAAGGATATGGATACTGGAACTTATTATTACTGGCATCTCGGGCACCAGGGCCTGCTCAGTGGGATCTGTTACACGTCCCACTGACGCTTCTACACACTCCTGCTGATACCCAGAGAGAGCCTGCGGGTACTGAGTGCCACCTCCGTCCACCTGCTCCATCCTCCCCCGGGCAGCTCCCTGCTGGGCCTCTCCTACAGCAATGACATCTGCCCCGACCCAGCACACACACTAAACAGGTTCACAACCTTCTCTCCCACATCACTGGCGAAAGCAAACAAAAATCATCGTTTTTGTTGAGGCAAAATGTAAACAGAATAAAATGCAAAAAATCCCAAGCGAGGCAATTAGAAGAGGGTCTGACACATGGAGACACCTGTGAGGCACACAGGTGTCACTCTTCCATCACTCCAGAAAGTTCTCCTGCCCCATCTTCCTACTCTGGAGCACAGCGCCCTGACCTCCCTCAGCTGCCCCTGCTGCCCCTGCGTGCTCTCTGAGCATTCGGTCAGACTATGGCCCAGAGTGGTGGCCAGTGTGCTAGGGGACCTCCCAATAGTGAGGCACTTGGGCAGCGCAGCGTTCTCTCCAGAACCTCAGCCTTGCAGGTCAGCTGCCTGAAATCTGAACACGTCTGCTTAATGAGTGGGTTCTGTGCCCAATTATATTACCTGCTCATAGGACGACGGGGGTTCTACTAATTACTCCATTGTGGCTGGAGCCTTTCAAATGATCACTGGAGGCTGGGCTCTCTCCTTGGCTGGCAAACGGCTGCCTCCTCACTGTGTCCTCCGCGTGTGACATACCGCAAGTGTGTGTACCTAAGATCCCTCCTCATTATAAGTGCCATTCAGACTGCATTAGGATCCACGTTAACATTAAAGGCCCCACCTGCAAACACAGTCACATTCTGAATCCTGGTGGAGGCCCGGATGCAACCTGCAAACCCCTGGGAAGGACTCGGTACCTGAACCTGACAATCACACTGCTGGGACCACACTTGAGGAAAGTGTGCACAATAGTGCAAAAACTACAGTGCAAAAAAAAAAAATGCAAAAAAATACAGTGTACTACCCAAAGTGCTAATAACTTCTGACTGTGCCTCTCCACAGATCCCCCCTTGCGGGAACTGATCTGGAACTCTGAGGGCCCCCCACTTCCAACAGGCTCTGATCATCAATGAACCATATGGTAAGAACATTTAACTGGCTATGCTTCAGTTCTTCACTGAGGGACTACACCAGTCGGCAGGGAGACAGAACTCGTGCTGCCCATTTGGAGGAAGTGAGTTCCAGGACCAGTGTCAACCTTCTCCAAGCAAGCCTCATGCAGCCCCCTCTGCTCACCTGTGATACCCATGTGGTAGCCGTGAAAGGCATCAGTAAGACCATCACACAGTATGCTATCAGCGAGGGGCGTCTCACCAACCCGCACGCCTGTTCTCAAGTGAACCAAGTGTGGAGCCTGCAAACGAGAAATGAAAATGCACTCAAGCGTGGCAGGAATTCATCCTGTGTGAGGCAGCAGTACGGCTCCATAAGGGAAGACTCCCTTGCAGCACAGGCATCCCATACAAGTGCCAGCAAGTCTGGCTGCTCCACTTCTGATCCAGCTTCCCACTAACACACTGGAGAAAGCAGCACATGAGCCCATCACCTGCCTGGGCCCCTGTCAGCCCTATGGGAGACTCAGAGGCAGTTCCAGGCTCCTGGCTTCAGCCTTGCTCAGCCCCAGCTGTTGTGGCCATAAGATGAAAGATCTCAGGGAGGGGGCAACCTTAGGGTCTGGGGGTTAAAACTTCCAGCAGCCTCTTGGCTGCTGGTAGGTTCCAGGCCAGGTCCGTTTCCATGCTTGGAACCCTGATTCCAGTTACTGTGAACATGTGGTGAGCTGTCCCCAAGTGGCCAGTGCTCCATTTGGTACCAGGCTCCATCTGCTGGCCGCCCAGCGGCAAGCTCTCGGGTTTTGGGGCTATGAATTGCTGCTTTGGCACCTCCATGTTGAGCCCACTGTGCTTCCGGGTTGCAAATCAATCCTGAAGACCCCTAATGACAGAGTAACTTTTCATTTGAAGGTAAGCAAGGGTACTGAGACCTGGTAGTTTGGGGGAGAGGGACTAGATGATCTTCATGGGTCAGACTGATATACCAGCCTTTGAGTCCTGTGTAGAACTTGTTATCAGCGAACAATGCTGACCACCGTACACCAGTCCATGCAAAAGCTAAGGCTGGGGGCTTGTCTAGCAGGACCATATCCTAGTACCTGACATAATGATGGATCAGGAGACGGGTCACACTAGGCAGGGCCATGACATTAACTAACACAAAAGAGAACCATTTCTGGGGGTAGATTCTGTGGGGGATGTGTGGGCCAAACCCTGTGGAAATACTAGCCCCACTGGTTAGCTCAAGAGTTGGGGTGGTGATGGACTAAGCTAGGTGGGACCAAGGAGCCTGCCATCATTCACGGGTAAAGGAACCGACAACAGTCTGGGCTGGTCAAGACAGCAGCACACGAATGTGCATCCTGAATAGGGTGTGGGGTGAGCCGGGCTGCAATGTTCACCAGCTCATACAAGGTCAAATGAAAGGCTAGACTATGCTGGACACTGGCCTAACACCCACCGGCATGTATGAGAACTGGGTCTGGGAGTGGGTCAAGTGGAGGAACTTGGGAAACTCCCCTGGTGGGTCATAGCTCTCGCTGGTGACATGGTCCAGAACTGGGGGTCAGACAAGCTGGGCAAAGTAGCTCCAATGGCTGGCTAATGTGTGCGTTGGTAGTGGAAAGGGGTGGATCAGTCAGGGCCAAGCAAACCTAGGTTCACAAGCAAAAACAGAAATCAGGATGGAGCACAGGTCATGCCGAGCTGGGCTCTTACACCTATTGATCTATATGAGCCAGGGATACTAGGTCACAGCATCAAAGGCAATGGCCAAGACAGATGAGGGATTATGCCAAGCTGAGTCAGAGCAATCATTGGCATGCATGTGCTCTATGGCTGGGAACAGGCCCGGTTGGGGAGCTAAGGGGACACCCTAGTTGGGTTGAGATTCCCACCGAGAAGCGCGAGGCTGGAGTCGGGGGTGCATTCTGGTCTAGCTATGGCTGCAGTCTCCCTGGCAAAAGCGTGGACTGGGACTGGATGCACCTAACCAGGCTAGACTCCAACACCATCTGGTGCTCTGGAGGAACAGGGTAGATGTGGGATGGACTAGGCTAGGTTTCTACCCCTACCAAGCCATGGGCGAGCTGTGTTTGGGCATGGACAAGCCTTGGTTGGGCTGAAACACCCAACAGTAAGAACCAGATTGGGTTGAAGGCCAGTCAGGAAAGGCTACTGTTCCTGCTAGGACAGGAGGTGAACCGAGTAGGGCTGGCTCATGGACCCACTAATATGCGCGAAATCTGGCATTGGGAGAAGTTCTGATGGAGGAGCCTGCGCAACTCCTCTGGCAGGACAAAGACCCTGCAGGTGAGTGCAAGAAGAGAACAGCCCAGAACAGGCCATGGAAAGGTACCCACTGGCATACATTTGGCATAGGTCGGGGGCAGACCAGGCTGAACCAGTTCACATCACCTGCTGGTGAATCCGAGCACCAGCATAGAGTGTGGGTCAGGCCAGGTTCAGTTGTGACACAAACCAGTGCACATTATGGAATGCCAAGGTGAGAAGACCTATACCAAATGTGGCCGCAGTGCCCAAACAGCACATATGAGGACCAGAGAGCGAGAGGGCAAAGCCAGCAGGGGGAATGTGGGCTCCCTTGCTGGACAGCCTCTCCCACTGGAGAGCATGAGTTGGGATGGGGGCAGACCAGACCAGGCAGGGATACAACACGTGTGGGCTTCATGTGAGCTAGATCAGGGAAAAGCCAGGCTGCATTGACTTCCTACTGGTGCAAGCATAAATCAGAGTGGGTGAGGGTTGGTGGGGCTTTGGCACAGCAACAGCTGGCAGGGGCTGGCACTGGAGGCTTAATCTGTCAAACTAGATTCCAGAACCACCTGGAGAGTACATAATATGGCAGTTGGAATGGCCTAGAAGGGAAATAGTGGGCACCTCCCTCTTGGGTTACCACTCCCACTGGAGAGACGAAAACCAGGACAGGGTCTGGGGTGGCTCGACAGAAAGGCACCCAACAGCATGTGTGTGAGCTGGATAGTGGAGCTGGCTAGGTTGAACTAGGCTTCAATGCACATTGACATGTGTGAGAGCTGAATGGACAGGCTGAACAAGTCTGTGGTACAAACAGGCATGCAGGGGAATCAAGGCAGGGGACGGGCCTGGTGGGGGTTATTGTTGGTCACGCCAACTAGGCTGCAGCTCCCACTGGCTTATGTGAGAGCCGAGTGTGTGCTGGGCAGAATCAGGCTTGACTGAATAATTCGTGTGGAAGACAGGGCTGGAGTTAGAAGGGACTCAACAATTGCAACCACCACCTGATTGGGGTGATGGACTGTACCGGGCCCTGTACTTACCAGTATACACAAGAATATGGCCTGGGATCACCTCAGATGAAGTTTCTTTTGGGGTCTCCCTAATCGAACTGCCGAATTCAGAACCCATGGTCTGACCATGGAGTGCATGTGCCAGAGCCGAGCCTCCTTAGAGGCTCAGACAGAGCAGTGCAGTGCATAACCAGCTGCAAATGGAGGGCATGACAGTCTATCAGAACCTGCATAAGACACCTGGTACCACAACAGAGGCTGGAGGACAGAACAAGCCCATCACCTACCCCAGCCATGTGTTGGCAGTGAAAAGCTGGGCAAACGGACACTCTAAGGTGGACTATGTCAGTCAGTGGATCTGCAGCGAATTCATCGTGCTTGGAATGGTGAGAATAGCAGCAATTCATAACTGCTGAACTATCAAAACCACTTGAGCAAGACCCTCAGAGCATGCCCCACATCGGGGATCTGGGGTGGGTGGGAGGCTGGGTGGGGCTTCTCCCTTTACCTTCCCCTTTACCCAGATACAAGAAAAAAACATTGTGGAAATAATAGTCTTTCCCACTTTCCTGTAGCCCTTGAACCTTTGTGCCCTAATTAACCATGTAAAGATTGTCAAAAATAAAGAAAAAAAAAAAAAGATGAAAGATCTCTGCCTCTCTCTGTCACCGGCAGATGAATAGTCTTAAATGGCTTGTTCCTCTGCCTGGTGTCCCCTGTGGTCAGCATTTCCTCTGTCTGCATCCAGTACCCCTGCCGCCCGACTCCTCATCAGGCCAGGATGTGAAGGTCTGGGGAGTGGGCAGGTCACCCACCTGTCTGCTCCCAGGACTCTGTTTCCATTTTTCTCTCGGATACTTCCACTATTTTTGGTTCCTTAAGAAACCCATTTATGGGCCTGCACAATAGCGTAGCGATTAAAGTCCTCGCCTCGAATGCACCGAGATCCCATATGGGTGCCAGTTCTAATTCCGGTGGCCCCACTTCCCATCCAGCTCCCTGCTTGTGGCCTGGGAAAGCAGTTGAGGATGGCCCAAAGCCTTTGGTCTCTGCACCCACGTGGGAGACCCGGAAGAGCTCCTGGCTTCAGACTGGCACAGCTCCTGTCATTGCGCTCACTTGGGGAGTGAATCATCGGACGGAAGATCTTCCTCACCGTCTCTGCTCCTCTGTGTATATCCGCCTTTCCAATAAAAATAAATATATCTTAGAAAAAAAAAAAAGAATTCCATTTACTCCCTGCAGACACAACCAACTCTGATGAATTACATAATGCCCAACGACTTCACTTTGATGAGCAGATTGCCTAAATCACTGAGGATATAGATTTCTGAATGACTCTTAACTCCAACTTTTTAAATTGGAAAGTCAGATATATAAAGAGGAGGAGAGACAGAGAGGAAGATCTTCTGTCCAATGATTCACTCCTCATGTGGCCAGAATGGCCAGAGCTGAGCCGGTCTGAAGCCAGGAGGCAGGAGCTCTTCTGGTTCCCCTGCACATGGGTGCAAGGGTCCCAAGGCTTTGGGCCGTCCTCAACTGCTTTCCCAGGTCACAAGCAGGGAGCTGGATGGGAAACAGGGCAGCCAGGATTAGAACCGGCACCCAAAGGGATCCCAGCAGGTTCAAGGCGAGGATTTTAGCTGCTAGGCTACTGTGCTGGGCCCATAACTCTGACTTCAATTGCAGCTCTGACAGTGGAAAGGGTCAGTATGGCTCTTGTGAATACAGGTTCCAGTTCCGTTTCTGATCCAGCTCCCTCTTAATGTGCAGCTTAGCAGGCAACAGATCCATCACGGCCCAATTAATTGAGCCCCTGCCACCCACATGGCAGACCTGGGCCAGTTCCAAACACAGTGGCTCAGGTGAGCTAGGTGAGAGTACTGGACTTTGCTCTGAGCCTCAATTCCTTATACCCTGCACTGGAGATGTCCTCTCCTCCACGCGGGCTATCGCGAGCAGAGGTACGAAGCTCGTGGGAGAAGGGTGGGTGCTGTGGCTTAGCAGGTCGGCCGTCACCTGGAACAGCCACTATCCTACAATGATGTACCTGGAGAGATCTCCCAGCCCCTGGGTCCACTCCCCAAACGCCCACAGCGCCTGGGGTCGGGCTAGGTTGAGGTCAGGAAGCAGGAACTCCACTTGGGTCTCCCACTTGAGCAGCAAGGACCCCATACTTGGGCCATCTTCTGATGCCCCTCAGGCTCATTGGCAGGAAGCAGGCAGAGGAATACGGGAGGCCGGCGGCCCAGAGAAGCGACTAAACTCCTTGTGCCACAATCTGGTCTTTTTTTCAGTAACTTCTGGATGCTCCCTCATGTTATGGCTTTACTATTATATGTCAGGCACTGCAGCTGAAGAAACTGCCCGCTTTGCTCCAGCCACACTGACAGAGTTTTTTGCTTCAACTAGCATTAACTATCTCACCTGAAGAAAGGTTAACAAGCGGGTGGGGAACCCAGGTTGAACCCGTGCCATCTGTTAAGTGTGGCTGCAGATCTGAGCTGCAACCATTGACCCTGCAGGGATGTGACCTTATCGGCGAGGTCGGGGAGGGCCACACGCAGTACCTTGCTCATGTTCTCCATGCCGCCTGCAATCACGATGCTGGAGTCCCCCATGGCGATGGACTGCGCGCCGAGGCACACGGCTTTGAGGCCTGACCCACAGATCATCTGGCAGCTCCAAGCTGGGACAGAGTAGGGGATCCCGGCACCCACGCTAGCCTGTCGAGTGGGATTCTGCCCGCAACCTTAGGGAAGAAACAGAGCAGCCTTTGGGCATCGAGTGGAAAGAAACCAGGGTGAAAGCATGGACAAAGCCGCCAGGCAGGCCTTGGCACGGCTGAAAGCCCACAGGCCAGCTGACTCCCTGCCAGCACACGATGCCGTGAGCCACGCAGCGAGACACTGCCAGGGTCCCAACTAACAAACGCCACCTTGTAAACCAAGTTGTGCTGCGGGTGGAGCGCGCAGCTCCCACGCGCCTCAGACACCACTCTCTGCTGTGACCGGGTCTACAGGGGAGCGAGCCCTCGCCAGCACGTGGCAGACAGGCCAAAGGCTGCCCTTCCTTGGCGACTGATGGCAAAGCCGCGGCCCAGCACACGCCTGAGCACTGAGAGCACCTGCGCTTCCCGCTGGATCAAGTCTGCCAGCTTCTTCAAGCAAACTCCTTCCTCTTACCACAAACAAAGCTATCTTGATCACGGGGTTATTGACCTAGGATCAGGCTGGAAGCTTAAAAATAAATATGAAAACAATGTAAAGTTACGTGTGACTGACCACGGACACAGCCCGGGGTCAGGCGGTAGCACTGACATGGCGTACTAGCCTTCCGTCATGCTGGCATCCCTACAGGAGCACCCACCAGGTGCAGGGTACGAATTCAGTGTGTAGCATTTTAGGGGGGCTGCGGAGGACCCTGCCGCCTGACCTGTGGGTCAGCGGTCTCGCTCACTCAGGAAAAGCCCACGGAATGCAGTGGGAGCAGGGGCGGGGTGGGTGGGTGCTGTGAAGCGCTGCTCCCTCAGGCCCGTTACCTGCGGCCAGGACGTGTCCGAATATGACCTCGGACACCTCAGCCGGGGTCACGGCGGCCCTCTGCAGGACCGCACTGATGACGGTGGAGGCCAGATCATGGACGGGCACGGTGGACAAGGCCCCGTTGAAGGAGCCTGGAAGACAAGGGCGGAGGGAGGGAGGCATGCTCGAGACGGGAGACGCCGTCGGGGAGGTCTCCCCGGGGAAGCGACGTGGCCTCCGCGTCCACACGCAGGCAGCCGGCCGCCTCGGGGCGCGACGGGGACCACCGTGCCGCCCCACGCACACGCTCTCTGTCCACACCCCCACGCGACCCCCGCCCACAGCGCCCCGACCCCTGATGTTCGATGGCACTTCCCGGAGGCGGCCAATCAGGCGCCTCTCGAGAAGAAGCCTTCCTACGCCAGCCAATAGCAGAGCCGGGAGGAGCGGTGGTTCTACCCCGCGCAGCCAATCCGTGCGCGCGGGGTGGAGCGAGCCCACCAGGCGAGAATGAGGAGGGGTCGCCGAGCCGGACCCCGCGAAGCACGCCGACCGTGGCGGGGGGTGCTCCTGTAGTCCGGGTCAGCCAGTCCCAGCCGGCCCCTCACCTATGGCAGTCCGCGCCGCCGACACGATGACCACGGGGTCCGAGGCTGCACTCATCCTGCCTGAGCTGCTCGCGCGCCGCGGAGCTGTCGGCGACTGAGCCCCTGCGCTTCCTGGGGGCGCGCAGGCCGCGCAGGGGGCGGAGCCAGCCTCGCCACGCCCGCCGCCCACGCAGGGCCGTGAGCGCGCAGGCGCGAGCGCGGGGCGGGTGGGCGCGCCTCGAGACCCGCGGGTGTCCTCTGCAGGGTGTCCGCGCCCGGGGAGAGTTCTGGAATCTCCCGGCGATTGCGTCAGGTGGGGGCCTGCGGATACAGCCGAGGGCCCCGGGTTCACTGCCAGAGCTTCAGATCCTTATCTGGACACGTTGTTTCTTTGTTTTCCGGGTCTCTTAGGCCGTGTAGACTCTTGGGGTGACCTGAGGAAACTCATGTTCAAACTAGATTCCGGGCGAGTCCCTCGGGTGTGAGTCCCGCTCCCTGAGAAGGGGTGCGGTCCCCGAGGCGGCCCTGCCGGGTCCCTGGGGGTCGCACCGCCTGCCCCTTGCTGTGGGGGCAGGAGGAGGCCGTCAGGGCTGCTCGGACCTCCTAGGGCTCAGAGTCCTTCGGCCATGGGGCAGGGTAATCGGGGTCACTTGCGTGGGTTCCTATCTGCCGACCAGAGTTCAGAATTTGTCGCAAATTTCCAGGAATGTATTGATTTTTTGCTGAAGGGTGGGGACACGACCTCAGACACTCAGGAGACAGGAGGAAGGGAGAACGTGGCTGCGAGGTTGTGCACCAACGCTGGTCTGTCCTCCCGAACCTGTCTCCTGGAACACTTGGAAATAGCTGGGGAAATCTCCAGGCTCTGCAGATACGTGGCCGGGAGAATGTTAGGAGTGCAGGCCCCTTTCCAAAGGCACCGCGGGGTTCGAGGTGGCGCCCTCCCTGCTGTGGAGTTCAGCACTTAGCTTGGAGTCTGCCATGCCTCCCAGCTCTCTCCCATCTCACAGCTCTCCTTTGTGGGCTTACTGTGTCACCCAAGGGTCCTGCTTTGCACAAGTTTGCTGAGAGCAATCAGTCTTCTGGCCTCTATGTATGCGCTGACCACTCAGATTCCTGCAGCTAACCCACTTTTCTCCTGAGCAGACTGGCCTTCCCTATTTAAATGTCCTGTGAACACATTAACTTTTATCTGCTTCTTTTTTTCTTTTTTGTTATTATTTTATTTTGCTAATCTTTATACATAGTTGGTTAGGACACGAAGGGTCAAGGGCTACAGGAAAGTGGATGAGGCCATTGTTTCCACAATATATTTTTTAAAGTGGGTAAGACTATTATTTCCACATTGTTTCCTTCATGTTACTGAGGTAAAAGGGATTTTAAGGGAGAAGTCCCACCCAGTCTCCCACCCACCCCAGGTCCCTGATGTGGGGCATGCTCCGAGGGTCTTGCTCAAGTGGTTTTGATAGTTCAACAGTTCTGAATTGCTGCCAATCTCACCATTTCAAGCACAGTGAAATCTCTTCAGAATCCACTGGCTGACAGTTCAACTTAGAGTCTCCATTTGCTCAGATTTTCACTGCCAACACATGGCTGGGGTAGTTGATTGATTTGTTCTGTCCTTCCTCTGTTGTGGTACCAGGTGTTCTCTGCAGGCTCTGATGAACTGCCATATCCTCCATGTGCACCTGGATGGATATGCTGTCCACTGCTCTGTCTGAGCCACTGAAGAGGCTCAGCTTTGACACATGCACTCCATGGTCAGACTTCTCTTCATGGTTGGGTTTCTGAAATCAGCAGTTCAGTTGGATGGAGGGATCCCCAAAGAAACTTCATCTGAGGTGATCCCAGACCTGATTCTTGTGTGTGGTTACCAGGGTCTGGCACAGTCCGTTGCCCCAATCAGCTTATGCACATGCTGGTCGTTGAAATTGCTAGGTCAGTTGTTTCCAGCCCTGTCTTCCATGTGAACCAATGGGTGTTGCAGTCCAGCCTGATCCTGCCCACTTCATACTTGGCCCTCATGCAAACCAGTGGGAGCTGCAGCCTAGTTGGTGTGACCCACAATAACCCCTACCAGGCCTGCCCCCCACCCTGGTTCCTTTGCTTGCCAGTATGTACAGCGGACTAGTTGGTCTGTCCCAACTAGTACATGTCAATGGGCACTGAAGCCTAGTTCAACCTAGCCAGCTCCACTATCCAGCTCACACACGCTGACAGATGCTGTGTCTAGTCACTGCTGCCCCTGTCCTGGTTTTCATGTTCTCCAGTGGGAGTGGTAACCCAAGAGGGAGGTGCCCACTATTTCCCTTTTAGGCCATTCCAACTGCCATATTATGTACTCTCCAGGTGGTTCTGGAATCTGGTTTGACAGATTAAGCCTCCAGTGCCAGCCCCTGCCAGCTGTTGCTGTGCCAAAGCCCCACCAACCCTCACCCACTCTGATTTATGTTTGCACCAGTAGGAAGTCAATGCAGCCTGACTTTTCCTTGATCTAGCTCACATGAGGCCTACAAGTGTTGTATCTCTGCCTGGTCTGGTCTGCCCTCATCCCAAATCATGCTCTCCATTGGGAGTGGTTATCCAGCAGGGGAGCCCACATTCCCCCTGCTGGCTTTGCCCCTCCCTCCCTGGTTCTCACTTGACATAAACAAAGTCAAGTGTGCCACCTGTTCCAACCTCAGTGAGGGGGCTGGTGTGTGGTGTGGTGGTTAAGCACCTGCTCTGATGTCTGCATCTCATGTTGAGGTCCTGGGGTTGGAGTGCTACTAATGCACCAGAAACTGCAGATATGACAGTCAAGATTTTGGGGTCACCCACAGGACAGACCTGACGTGAGGTCTAGGCTCCTGGCTTCTGCATAGCCCAGCTAAAGCTGCCTGAACCGTTTGGGGAGTACACCAGCAAAGTCCCTGCCTTTCAGATAAATAAATAAAAACTCATAGCTAGATTAACCTGTTGACCATATTACAATTGTCTCATCTGTCTTACTAGACACTGAGTTTCACAAGTTGGGGGGGGGATGCTGTTTTACATACAACTCGTAGCACCAAAGGCTCTCAGTATGGGTGAATGTGGCTGTAACATTCAGAGGCTGCCATGTTTGAAGGAGTATGACTATTCACCACTCTTCAATCTCCAGGACTTAGCAGACCCACTTTAAAGTACATCTTGAGAAGGTAATAGCTTGCTTTTGTTGAGTGGGCACTCAACCTGCGTTTTCTCAGGAGTCCTCATTCTAGCTACTCATCAGTCCACTCTGAATGGGCGCCGATGGGAAACCAACAGTAATGAGCAGTAAATGAAGGGATGCAGCTTGATGGAAATCCAGCCATTTTGGTCTTTCCTGGTGGTTTCATCAAATTCTGTGGGATGAAGAGCCATTAAGATAAACTGCAGCTTTTCTTGGAACCTCTTGGAGGGTCACTATTTCTTCAAAAATGTCCCATGCATTTCCACTACCCAAGGACCACCTTTGTCAAATTTTCCTTCAGTGATTACATGCCTTTCAGCTCCGTTTTCTGTCCTGTACACGCCTCCTCCCTAATGGCATGGTAGTAGGCCACAGCACCTTTTGAGATAACTGGGTCAGAACCTCACTAATAAGACTAGTACCCAACAGGAGCTAGGAATGACCTTTTAGCCGTGGAAGGACACAGCCAACAGGCAGTGCAGTCCTCTACCAGCAAGCAGGGCTCCCATCGGAACATCAATAAGCACTTGGATCTGACCTTCCAACCCCCACAGCTACTGAAAATTAGTTTGTTTCTGGGTTGATGGTATTTTGATCATAGCAGCTTAGGCTAATAACTGTTGCAGTTACATTACATGCAGTATTTAATTAATGCTGTAAGGGGTGGGGATAGGAATGAACCAGTTAAGTGGTTGCCCAAGTCATGAAACAGATGGTTAATTCCTGGATTCAAACCACACTCAGAACTGGGAAATGGACTAGTTATAGCATCCAAACAAATCATCCAATTCCAGAAATAAGAAATATTAATTAGGGCCCAGCACAGTGGCCCAATGGCTAAAGTCCTCACCTTGAACGCACCAGGAACCCATGTGGACTTCAGTTCATATCCCAGGCAGCTCTGGTTCCCATCCAGCTCCCTCTTGTGGCCTGGGAAAGCAGTCGAGGACGGCCCAAAGCCTTGGGACCTTGCACCCATGTGGGAGAACTGGAAGAAATTCCTAGCTCCTAGCTTCAGATTGGCTCAGCTCCAGCTGTTGCAGCCGCTTGGGTAGTGAATGAATCATTGGACAGATCTTTCTCTCTGTTCTCCTCTCTGTATACCTGACTTTCCAATAAAAACAAATCTTAAAAAAATGTAATCAACTAATAAAATTACCTCTTAAATGTTTCTGGTTTTAATATATATATAAAATCCCAAGCTATTCAAGGTAAATTCCACAGAATTGAGAAAATTCAGTCACATTGAAAAATCTACGCTCAAGTTATTACACCACTAAAATTAAAAACAGCAAAACCTGTACTGCTCGTGGTAATGCAGCCACCTGCAACACCAGCATCTCGTGTCCCGCTGTTATTCGCCATCCAGCTCCCTGCTAACGGCCTAGGAAGGGAACTGAAGACCGCTCAGGGCTACTGGCTTCAGCTTGGCCCAATCTGGTTATTGTGACCATTTGGGAATGAACTAGCAGACACAAAATCTTTCAAGCAAATAAATGAAGATATCCGATGACTAATAATCAAATCCTTGTAACAGGTAAAAAAAGCTGGAGTTGGTGCTGTGACAAGATGGTTGCTGACATTCCATATGAGCATGGATTCCTTTCCTGGCTGCTTCACTTCCAATTGAGCTCCCTGTTCATGTTCCTGGGAAAGCAGAGAATGGCCCAAGTCCTTGGGCTCCTGCTCTCACATAAGACGCCTGAATGAAGTTTCTGGCTTTGGCCTGGTCCAGTTCTGCTGCTTGCAGTCACCTAGGGTATGAACCAGCAGGTGGACATCCCTCCTCTCTGTAAGCCTTGCCATCATAGTATCAAGAATTATAAACACCCATAGGGCACAGAAGTTTGGGCAACGTAAAAGCGCATAAACAAGCCAGAGTTCACGGTATTTAATGAATTAAGAGAACACTTT